GAAAACCTTAAAAATATTCTAATCTTTCTAAGGAACTCATTACAACCAAATTAATATTTGAATGATTGCTTACAAAAATATCTTCCAAAATACATCTGCAAGTGTAAAAAATACTACTTTTCTTGTGTTTCTTTTAAGTGTTGTTTATGTATTAAATATGTAACAAAGCAATAAAAATAGTGTGCATTCTGGAAAATCACAGTTCTATTGGAATTAATACAGAAAAAGTATTTAGGAATATGACAAGTAAGACACATGTAAAAGTAATTAGGAGTTTATACTAAAATTTACATACAATATTAAAATTACAAAATATTGGGTTTAAATTTTAGTAGCTGCACTTGGATTCTAATTATAATCAAAAACATTTGTTGCCTTGGAACCCTTTCCTCAGGAAATGAATCATCATAGACTAGTGAACTTTTCAAATTACCTGAAGGGTTGCAGCCTTTGATATTTTTCATATTTTTTAGCCTACTATAATTTTTTTTTTAATCTGCCATTTTGTTGATTATGTGTTTAGTTTTCCTTCCCTCTTTTTCTGCTGTTGTGAATTTAGAATCTAGATCACTGCATTTAGTAAGAAGCAGTAGAATAGATTTGTATATAACATTGGCAATATTTTTGCTGAACTTCAAGAATTAAGAGTCACTTAAGCACACAAGTATAGGCAAGAACCAGTTCCTACTCAAGAAGTGAAAAATGAGAGTAGTCTTAGAAATTTTTCCACCCAATACTCAGTGAATACAAGAATGCAATGGAACAGTACTTCAGATTTCTGAAGCAAAGAAAAAAATACCTCAACTCTTTCATAACCATTTAAATTGTTTTTCAAGTAATAGACTAGCGACAACCTAACCCAGGAATACCAGAGTAATAACAATGCAGATGACAGTGTTTTAAAATAACAGTAAAAATGTTGTGTGTTGGGCCTCCCCGGTGGCGCAGCGGTTGAGCGCTGGGTTGCGAAGCTGCCGGCGACCTCTGCGGCGCCGGTTCGATCCCCGGCTGCTCCCCGGCCACTGGAGGAGGGTCCCACATGGCGCGCAGACCTCTCCTGCCGCCCGCTGCTCCCCTCAGCAGTGTACTTTGGTTCTTCTGCCTGCTCTGCTCCCTGCTCTGGCTCTGGTGAATTCTCTCACCCTCCCGCGCTTCTGACTGTACCCAGTGCATGTATAAACAAAGAAACAAACAAATAAATAAATAAAAAAAAAAATGCCTCTATTAAAAAAAAAAAATATTAAAAAAAAAAAAAATGTTGTGTGTTGCCTCCATTTAAGAATTCTGATACTAGCAAATGTGGGAATCATGATTCTAGACCAGAATATGAATGTTATAAACCTTTTAAAATTTGTCCATACATTGAAGACTCTTTCTGATGGTTATAAATGTACAGAGAAATGTTTAAAATAGCAAAACTAATATATACTGTAGTTCAAAATATTAGAGGCTTTGAATTAAAGTATTATTTCTCTGGGGAAAAAAGGCATTGAGAGAAATTTGAACAGTGCTTGCCTGGCTTGCTTTCATCATATTGTATAACTTAATATTGAACAGACATCTTTTCTATACTTTGTTGTACTGTCACACTCCTTTCAAAGTTTGGATCAGCTTTAGCTATTTTATCCTTCGCACTCCATGTCATGAGATATCTCTGGGATTTCCTTTTAATGGGAATATTTTTATGAGCCTCATTTCCACTGTGACATCTTCATCCTTTCTCTCACAACCTCTTTCTCCATCCTTGATAACGTGACGTTCACTAAGTTCCTCTGACTTTATAAAGTCTTGGGTCTCAAGTGGCATTGTGTCAGCATTCCATGGTAATCTATTTATTCTCTGACCCATTTATGTTCAATTCTAGTTTTACTTTCAATGTTACCACTTTTCATTTCTTTGGTGAACTTTCATCCTGTTAACTGATCTTCTCTTTTGATTATCTCTTTATAAAACTATCAAACTGTCAGTGGGATTATCACTAGGTGACAAGGAGGCAACACAACTACATTTGCTATGTGTACACTCAAAATACATACACAGTGATCAATCACTGACAGACTCTCAAAGATGTGATTGATCACTGATGTGAGATTTGTTACTTACATAGCGATTTGTGTGTTAAGAATCAGCACCAAAGTTTGGATTTTAGGCAATTACTTATAGTTAATACACAGTGGTAACTGAATTTGAACCATGTTGCTGAGGTTTGTTTAACTTAATAGTGAATCTTGCATATAGTGTGACCATGCAAAGTGAGAACTGCTTATAATAACATAATTGACAAAATCCTAACAGGAATTTCCTGAATAGGGAGAAGTATAGTATTTCAATTATTGACAGGAGTCTACAGATATTGGTTAAAGTTGTAATATGTAAATGCAATGATTCTGACCTCTACACTTTTCTCATAATCACTTTTTATTAATTTTAGAAAACTCTTTTAGGGGTTCTCACCTAGTAAAAAAAATACAAAGTTCATTGGATCTTTCTTGTTTCTCTCCTTTTCTGTTAAGACCTGCAGCCAGTAAATGGAGAAGTTCCAGTTCAGTTTCTATGAAGCAACTATCTGATTTAAGGAACCTACCCATGACTTAGGCCATGTATGTAGGGCCAGCAGCTTCAACTGACATCACTTAGGGTATTAGAATAACTCCCCCTAAAAACTGTCTTTATTTCTAATGCCCATGTTGTAGGCAGTATAGCTTCATAGTCTCCATTCCATTGTTCATTTTGATACTTGAAGTTTTCTTGTTCTCCAACTCAGCAATTTTTTAAAAATTTAATTCAGTATTTCTATGTGTTTGTAGTGGATAGAAGATTCTTGCATGTACTTCATTATCATCTAGACTAGGAGTGCTCTCATGTCATTCTTAAAAATAAAAATCCCACTCAATAGTATATCAAAAAAGTAAATAGTAAACTAGGTTTACAAATAAACCTAATAAGAAATATTATTGAATATTGAGACCTACAGGAGGAAACTGAAGTCATAAAAGAGGATATGAATTAACACTGATGTTTTGTATTCCAAGATGGAAAGATTCAGTTGGTAAAGATAGGAGTTAATCTCTAATTAGACTCTTGCAATTAAATTTTTAATGATATTTTAAGGAAATTTTAAAGTTATCCACAAGAGTAAATTTGAAAAAAGTAATGAAGAAAATTATGAAGAAAAATAATTAGGGGGAGAGAATTGCTGTACTAAAGTGGCAAGGCCTGTTGTAACAATAAAGTAGTTAATATAATGATATTGGAGTAGGAAATATATCTGGTAGAACAAAGACGACTTTAGAATAAAATAGAGACAATGGAAATGTATGTGTAGGTAATTTTGAATAATGTATTTCAAACGGTTGGGAAAGGTGGATTGTTTAAAAAGTGGTATTTAGAAAATTGACTATTGTGGGGTGAGATCGTTTCATCCCTGTTTCACATCATAAAAATAGATTGCAGATATAGGCTCAAGATAGTCTTAAGCATGCCTGAGATCCAGAAACTATAAAGGAAGAGACTGTTTTTTTTTTTTTTTTTTGTTTATACATGCACTGGGTATAGTCAGAAGCGCGGGAGGGTGAGAGAATTCACCAGAGCCAGAGCGGGGAGCAGAGCAGGCAGAAGGACCGAAGTACACTGCTGAGGGGAGCAGCGGGCGGCAGGAGAGGTCTGCGCGCCATGTGGGACCCTCCTCCGGTGGCCGGGAGCAGCCGGGGATCGAACCAGCGCTGCAGAGGCTGCGGGCAGCTTCACAACCCAGCGCTCAACCGCTGCGCCACCGGGGAGGCCCGGAAGAGACTGTTTTAACTTCATATTTAAAACAAAGTAAATAGCACCATAAAGTTAAAAGCCAAATAAAGACAGGACAGTAATATTGACTGTATATCACAAATATAACATGTAAGGCCAGTAATGTATTGGCCAATAAGAAAACAACAGAAAATAGACAAAAGATATAAACAGATATTTCACAAAATTAATAGTAATGGTTTGTATAAAAAAAGGTTTATCCTTATTGATAAACTTGACGTAACATTTTATTCAGGAGATTGGTAAAATATATACCACTGAGAATGTAAACTGAAAGTCTTCAGTTTGGTAGTAGCTATCAAAAATGAAATATTCATACCTTTGACCCATTAGGTCTATTTTTAGGAATTTAAATTATAGAAAATATAAGCATATGTACAAAAGATATAGTATATAGATGTTTGTTGTAGTATTGTTTACTTAATAAGAAATCAGTATCAGTCTATATGTTATTAGAGGAATAAGTAAATAAATGTTAGCATACCCATACTTTGGAATGCTGTGAGGAGCAGTTATTGTTAGGGTATGTATGACTTTGGAGTCAGATTGCATGGGTTTGAATTCAGAATCCAACATCTACTAGTTGCATGATCTAGGCTTACTAAGCTTATCTGCATCTCAGTTTTCTCATCTGTAAAATGGAGATAATTGAATCTACTGTAGAGGGTTGTGTGATAAGTAAATTAATTAATGTGAAAAGGCTAGTGCTTAGGACATAAGTATCGATTAATTTACTATTAGCTAATTTTAAGTTATCACTTCGTAGTTATTGAAAAAGAATAAAAAACGTTCTAACTCCACTGTAATATAAGCTTCTAGAGCAGTATATATATGACATGAGTCATCTGTAAGTAGATTTTTTTCAAGGATATATATGTGTGTGTGTGTGTGTGTGTGTGTGTATGTATTTGAACACAGGTGAATAATTCTGGAATATGAATGCCAGTCTTAACAGAAGCACCTCTGAGAGTGGAAAGCTAGCAGATTTTCAGTGTCTTAAAGGAGTATTTTCTTACATATTTTTTCAAGAACATACTGTATAATTAAACATTTTTTAAAAGATTCCATAGACTGTCAGAATAGTAGAACTTGTGGCTAACCTTTCTATTTTATTTTTTTAAAACGAAGCTTTATTTTTTAAATGATGTGTGCTTTCTGTTATTTTTCTTTGTGACTCATTAAAGTATTTCTTACAGGAACATGCTTACCCAGCTGATGAACTCATGCCTTTAACCTGTAGAGGTCGCGTTAGAGGTCAGGAGCCAAGTCGGGGTGACGTTGATGATGCATTGGGAAAGTGAGTATTAATACCGGGAGCATAGCATCCCAACGTTCTCAAGTCTTACACTTCTTAGAGGCAGTTTACTATCATATTTCTGAGGTTTAGTTAAATTTCAGTAACTGCTTTAGGTATTGAATTAACCTCCTTTATTCCCTTCTGTTATATTTTGTAAAAATCGATCAGTTTATCTCTTAGATCAGTACAAGTTGAATGAGTTGTTTCTTAAATTGCATGCAACTTAAGAAATGTATCTAAAATCTTTAATACATTATATCATGCTGATGCTTTAATATTATTTACTTTTAAATGAACTAATGAATGTTTCTGTTCATCTTGAAAGATATGTAAATATGCTGAGAATAAATAATGTTAAGACTGGTGCTAATCATTGTAGGTGACATTGTACTATAGATATACATAAGTATTAGTCAGCTTATATATTTATGGCTAAATAAAATATTTAGAATTCTCATGTTTTGTGTCTTGTTATGCTTTTTCTTAGATTTTCCCTAACACTGATTGATTCTTTGGACACTCTTGTGGTAGGTTTGATTCTTCTTGAATTTATTTATTTTATAAATTTCATGATATGTTCACTCAAGTGTTATTTGTATCATTGTTATACAGTAAGTCTGAAGTAAAAGCCTTTAGAATTTAAGACATTTTGATCTTTGCTTTTAAATAAATTGTTGACATTATTGAATGTCAAGTAAATGTCAGTTTACACAATGGTATCTTACTTAGGAAAACTTTTCCTTCCCCCTTGATCATGGAGGTTGATGCTATTGGAAAAAATAATTTAGAAAATACCATTGTTATTCTTGTTTCAAAATGATATGCCAAAGTGACACTGAAATTGTTAAATTAGATTCTTGTTTATATACATATGTGTGTGTATGTATATAAACAAATTACTTTTTTACCAGCACTAATTTTTAGCAGCATATGATCACTTTAGTATCTCCTTTTCAACCTTATGGGATCCAAAATCATTTTAATTAATGTTAGTTGGGGACATTTTGTGATGGCAGAGGGGAAAGATTGAGTTCCAGATGTCATAATTTCTAAAACAATATTTTTCTAATTTTATAATCTTAGTATACTTCTTTACTCTTTATATAGAGTAGGCCTGTTTCAGGATTTTCCTTAAGACATAATTCTCAACTTTGAGTTAGTATCTCAAGTACCAGTTAACATTAAAAAAAAATCTTTGGTATGTCTGAAATGTTTCAGAAATAGGCTTTTCTGTATTCTTCTTTCAATGGGCAATTTTTGTTTCTTTTTTGGCCAGAGATAATTAACTATACCAACACCTAAGGAAGATTGCCTGTGCAGTTTTAAGTTTCTCTCTCTTTCCCCCTCTCTCTTTCCCTCCCTCCCCTCTCTTACTATATTATTATTTAGTTGTTCTGAAATATGGCTGGGCATTATTTATTTTTCTACAGCTTCTTTTTGTTTATAAAATGCAGGTGTATTTGAGACAACCTTTTTATTAAAAAGTCCAGAGTTGTTTAGACCTCTGTAGCTGGGTCAGGGTTTTGAAAGTTGTGACTTCATTTCTCAAAGAGTAAAGAAAGTGTGGACTATATTTTAATGACTAAAAATGAGAGAGAATGTTATATGCCTTATTTTTGCTTTAGTGGTCTAGGATTCTGTTAAAAACGGGGAAGAGAAAAAGATAAAATCTTCTGGGATACACAAATTCCACTCTGGGAGAAACTAATGGTGTATTTATTTTTAACTGTAGCTGGGTTATGCATAAGTCTATCTTGATAAGGGGAAGTAAGCACGGAACCGTAGTTGGATATTAGGAAAGATCACATGTGGCTGTAAATTTGTTTCTCAGTTATCTTGGTTTTACCCTTCCATATAGCAGGTTCTCTATCATCTCTCTGTAAGCCCCTGGTTGATTTTCATGAGCCTGGACCTCAGGTAGCATATGTGTTTTTAAGATATTCATTAGAATAGTGGAAAAGCTTAATATTTATTAAACTTCCAGAGGACCCTGGTGTATGCTAAAGTCTGAGAAACATACAATGATGCAGTGCTTCTTAAACTTCACTATTCTATAGTTCACTTAGGGATCTTGACTAAAATGTACATTCTGATATGGTAGACCTAAAGTTGGAACTAAAAGTCTGTATTTCTGATAAGCTGCCACATGGTGGCGCTGCTTCTGGTCAGCTGACCCCACTCAGTCAGGTGCTCTGGTCCTTGTTGCAGGAGAGACAAGAAGGGATCATTACATTGATATGTGTGAACTTTTTAAATTTCAGTTTTCCAAGTGTGAATGATTTAAGTAACTTAAGATGAGGCCTGAATTCACCCTTTGCTCTCAACTAGGAGCTTAAGTAACTCATTAATGTTGCTGTTGGAATGACTTTTTAGTTGATTAGGGAAAAGAATTCTCTTCCCACATTTACTGTCCTTTGAAACTAATAGCTTTGCTACTATTATTGATTGTTTTGATTTTGGAGAGAAGAAAAAAATCTACTTTTCCCGTAGAAAAGCAGTTCAGACCTTGAGGAGACACGTGGGAGGAAAAATCTCACAAGTTAGAATTCTGAGTTCAAAAAGAAGTAATTCACAGGAGATAGAAGAATGAAATTAGCAAAATGGTATTAAAAAGCATATGTGTACAGACACAGGCAACAGAGCTCTGCTTCATCCTGAAAGTGCTGGGAGGGTTGTGTGCGTCTGCATTTGTTGCTGCAGACTTGATGTAGACTTTGAGATTGAGAAGGGAAAGCAGTCTATTTACATTTGGGTTTCATAGTATATTTTACTCAAAACTTATCATAAATTTTACTTTTTCTTAAGTTGTAATCAATATTCATATTGAATGTTTTATACCTAAAGTAGAATTTTCGGTGAAAGTACCAAGTCAGTTAAGAAAGCACTGCAAAATATCAGACAAAAATATAAGGCAGTGATATAAAGAAAAACTACTTTTAACGATCGAGGATTTATGTAACATGCAATTGTGCGACCTTAATTTAGACTGAACTATCAAAGCAATCTGGGTAATACAGTGCCACTTTATGGAGCTCATTGCAATAGTATGGGTTTCTAGACCCTAATGGTAATAATAATGATGATAGTGATGATGTCCAGCACTTGTTGAGCCAATAATTTACTGAAAGTACTTTATATACCTTACCTAATTTAAGAAAACAAGCCTGTGAGAATAGGTATTTTCTAGTTTTGTAGGTGAAGAAACAGGCTCAGAGTTGAAAATGACTGGATTATACAGCTAGTGAATGAAATAATGTGAATTCAAATCAGGACTTGATGTTGACCACAAAAATTAGGGGCCTAGGCATCCATGGAGGAAGCTGGCAGGTGGTATGTGGTTTAAAATCAGGCTGTCATCCCCTGAAGAGGAAGCAACTTTTAAAGTCATTTTTGGTGAATAGGGTGGTTTTTTGTTTTGTTTTGACTTAGAAACCAAATTCCAGTAGAACTCACCTCATGTCACTGTAGGTCACGCACTATATATTGAGAAACCAGTTAAAGGGTTTGATGATGGTTGTTTGAAAGTCCTAGTGGAATTTCACCATGTTTAAAAAAGAAGTATATAAGTTGTATAAAGTTACCTTATAATCAGGCACTTAATGTTTTTCGGCTTTAGGTATCACATTTTAATAATATGTTTCAGGGGAATATTTGGCTTGTTACTTTTTATAGCATTTAAGTATATTAATTTGCTTTTAGTGACTCATATAGGTATTTCTCTTTAACTTAGTGGAAAATAACTTTTTTTATAATTTTCTTTTTCTAGGTCTTAAATAAAACTAAAGAATTTGAAGATGCAGTGAGGAAAGTTTTAAGAGATGTAAATTTAGATAATGATGTAGTCGTATCAGTCTTTGAAACAAACATCAGAGTTCTTGGGTAAGTATGTAAGACTAAAACTATAATTTTAACAAGAGAAAAGCTTAGGGTCAATATACTGTTTATTTCTTGATGGTAATAAAGGAAGGAATTTCTTATGTTTAAAAGATAAAAGATGGGATATTATGAAACACAGAGGCTGTGGGATGACCTTGCCTTGTATCAGTCACAGAGAGCAACAGTCTTTGGAAATAGGTGCAGACTCAAATCAAAGGTATGTTGTTATAAAAAGGATGTGGGCAGAACATTTGCATGCCAGCAATATCACAGGTTTTTCACTAGCTTACATAGTTTGTCAGCCTCTTCAAGCCAGATGAAACTGAACTTACAGATTCACCTCTCAACTAAACAGTTTGAAATGTTATTGGAACACTTAGAAATGCAGAATGACAGGATTTATTACTTCAAGTTTCATCATTGTTAACTTGTTCTTTGTTTTTTTTTTTTTTTTAAGGTTTATTTTATGCATGCATGCAAGAATGGGGGTTTAGGCCAGTAGTGTAGGGGTTGAGGGGCTTCACCAGAGACAGAGTGGGGAGCATAACAGGCAGATCTACTGAAATACACTGCTGATGGGAGAAACGGGTGAGATGGGAGAGGTCTGCTGTGCCATGTGGGTCAGCTCCTTGGCTTGGTTTTGAACTGGTGCTGCAGTGGCTGCGGACTGCTTGATGGTGCTGAGACTTGACCTCTTGTGCCACCAGGGAGGCCCCCTCATTATTCCCCTCATTATTAACTTTTTCTCTTTCGTGATTGTTTTCATGTTATTGTAACTCATTTCATTTTGTCAAAGTATGTCTTTCAGTTAAATTTAAGAAATAGTTATATACCTTTTCAGAGTTTATTAATCTATATTTAATACAGAGTGGGAAGTTTTTTTTAATGTCACACTGCTAAAGATTTCATTATGGTATAATTAAATTTAAAATTAGTTAAAATATAAATTTATAAAATTGTTAAAATTGATATAATTTGTAGGTTGTTCTTTATTTTAAGGCAACTTAAGATACCTAAAAGGGCCAAACACTTTACAACAGACAGAATATTTGAGCTTTTTTAAATACTGGCTATGTAATTATATTGGTTTGTATTGACATAAAATGAATAGCAGAGTTAAGTAAAGAATTAAGTTCTTTTGTAGTCTTTCCTTTTGTGTGCTAAATTGTTGGTAACAAGATACCCATATTTATTTAGGTAGTGAATTTAAAATTTCTGTAAGATGTGGATGATATTTCATCTCTGTGATTGTAGGGGTCTCTTGGGTGGACACTCGTTGGCAATCATGCTGAAAGAAAAAGGCGAGTACATGCAGTGGTACAATGATGAGCTTCTCCAAATGGCAAAGCAGTTGGGTTACAAACTTTTACCAGCTTTCAATACTACCAGTGGCCTTCCTTATCCAAGAGTAAGTATCTTTAGCAATATGGCAGTCATTTATACTTCCTTTGCTGTTTTTTTTTTTTTTAAAGGAATGTCTGTAATCATAGCCATTGTTCCTCACTTGCTTTGAGGCTAGAAAAAATTGTTTCCCAGTTCTTTAACAAATTTATATTGACATTTCAGTTAGTTTGCACTTAAGTAGGGTGATAATTTAGATTAGTTTAGGCCTTTTATGTCACACTGCGTAACAGGTTAGATTAGAAGTAGTGAGAGTAGGTGTTAACTCTCTGGCGAAGAAGATAGTAAGAGAACACAGGACAGAAAAGGGATGAGGAGGAAGTTGAACTGGTGAAAATGAGGATGTTCAGAGACAATAAATACTATAAAGTTATATATGGTATTATATAATCTTAAAGAGAGCTTCTAAAAGAGATGGTCTAGTAAGCATTGGGAGAATTAGGTGCAAACAGAGTCTTGAAGGATGTAATGTGGCAAGTAAAGGGGAAAGAAGTGTTCATTGTAGGCGACAAGTATGGGACCATTCATTCTGAGATTTCTCCCTGCTCTGTTAGAAGTTAAAGATCGTTGGCAACAGAGTCAATTGAGAGAGTTTGTGTTTTTCTTCCCAAGAAAATTTTATGTGTAAGGCTGAGATGGGAAAGCCATTGAAAATGGAAAAAAACCCTTTATCCTGATTTATTTCATTCTTTACTAACACTGTTCATTCTTAGCCTCTTTCTAAGTCAGTCATTAACAACCTCTGTTAACTTTACGCTAGTTGAAATCAGTGTGATTTTATTCCTGTTTTTGTAAATACCTATCAACTCTTTTCTCTCATTTATGCTTCAGAGCATTTGAAAAATTAATCTTACTAAAACATAATTCTGTTAAATTACCCTCAGATGTTTTAGTGACTGTCCCTGTTGTACTGAATGTCCTTTAACTTTTCAGAATTTTTTATGCATTGGTGATAGATTTCCTTTCTGATCACTGTTCATTTCTTTCAGCCAAAATGTGTGTTCCCAAAACACCTGTGTTTTTTTTTCCATTTCTGTGTCTTTAGGCCTGCCATTTCATTTCTGTAACCTGGAATAACTTCTCTACAAATACACATCAAATAAGATTCATTTTCTCCATCAGAACATCTGTGAATAGAGAGACAGCCTGATATACAGCAGTGCTTTTCAAACTAGAGGTCATAGCTCATTGATTTATGCATTGATTTAGTCAGTTGTGATGAGTGTCTTTTTTAATGAAACAAACTAATATTAAATCCTATTTAAATTTCTAGTTTTTAACATTTTGAATAGCTTTCCTGTGAACATTCTTTTTATTTCTTTCTCAGGATAAATTACTGGAAGAGGAAAAAGTCTCAGAGTAGGAAATGGTTTTTAAGACTTTGGGTACTTTATTGCCCCCTTCCTCTCCAGAAAGTTTGGATAAAAGTTCACAGTTCTGTGTCATTCAATTGTTGCCAGCACGGTGCTACTTTGCCAGTTTAATGAGGGGAAAAAAAGGAATTGTGTTTTAATTTTAGTGTCTTTACTTATTAGTATGGTTAAATTTGTTGGTGGTTCAGTTTATCCTTAGCATATTAAAATCATAAAGTTATTCTAAAAAATCTGGACATTTATTTAAATGCATTTACTTTTAATATTTTTAGTTTTGTTATAAATGGAGATGTTGAAGTCTGAGGAATGTGGCATTTCTTCACTTTAGCCATAACGTGAGCAGGGAAAGAATTGAAACAGAAGATAACTGAGCATTATAGTAAAACAAAGGAAACTTAAATACTATTATCCTCTGAGTGTCAAGATTTAAAATTTTTTCTTATAAGAGGACTGCAAGTAGACAATAACTGCCTTGCTATCCTTCCCTATACACATTTAGTAAATGCTACTTTTATCCATAAAAATTCGCTCAAACCAGCCTCTCACAGGCTTTCTTAATTGATAGTATTTGCATTGATAATTTTTTTTTAAATATTTATTTATTTATACAAGCACTGGGTACAGTCAGAAGCATGGAAGGGTGAGAGAATTCACCAGAGCCAGAGCAGGGAGCAGAACAGGCAGACTGACGAAGTACACTGCTGAGGGGAGCAGCAGGTAGCAGGAGAGGTCTGCCCGCCACATGGGACCCTCGCCCAGTCTGGCTGGGGATCGAACCGGCGCTGCAGAGGCTGCAGGCAGCTTCGCAACCCAGCGCTCAACTGCTGCGCCACCGGGGAGGCCCTGCATTGATAATTTTTAACTCAAAAGAACTTGCTAGACAGATATGCTAATATAATAGTTAATGGTCATTTTTAAAACACATGTAACTCCTAGAGTTAGTCCACACTTAATGCCATTTCCTCAAAGTTAATTCAAAACACTTTGCCAGCTTTTCATTAAAGACCTCTTTGCTAAGGTTATATAGATTATTCATAAAATACAAGATTAATAGGATTTTGTTATGACTTGTACGCATTTTATGGATTTTCCTGTGTAGCAAATAATAGTGTAGATAAATTTAGCATAGGGAATTAAAACTTTTACCTTTTAGTAATAACGGGGTCCTTTTTGATTAAAATGTAATGAGTTCTGTGACAAAGATGCTTTCAGGAGTGGGGATAGAGGCAGAAAGACTTTTTGGAAGAGGTAGCATTTGGGATGGATCTTGAAAGATAAACAGAGATGTGTTCCAATAAATCATGAAAAAGAAAGGAGAATCACTGTGACCTTGGAGTTGTCTACAGTAAAGCCTTAAAGCTTAGGGGTTGACACTATGGAGAGCTGTGTGGCGATTTCTTGACCTACTAGACATAGAGCTTCCATATGATCCAGCAATTCCACCCCTAGGTATTTACCCAAAGGACACAGATACATCAATTCCAAAGAGCACCTGCACCCCTATGTTTATAGCAGCACTATTTACAATAGGTAAGCTTTGGAAACAACCCGAATGCCCAAAAGTAGATGACTGGATCAAGAAGATGTGGTACATATACACCATGGAATATTACTCAGCATTCAAAAAAGATAAACACATGCAATTTGCAGCAACATGGATGGAGCTGGAAGGGATCATGCTCAGCGAAATAAGCCAGAAAGAAAAATAAAAATACTGGATGTTCTCACTCATAGCAGGAATGTAGGAAACTTAAATAAGGGACCAGGAAAAAGAATAACTATAAGAAAGAAAATATCAAAATCAACAAACAACTATGAACCAGAGACACTCTATGGGGGGTGGGGGGTGGGGAAAGGAGGACTTGGGGTCAAAATAAGGGGGTTGTACTTGTATGGGGAATATAAAAATAAAATTTTAATTAAAAAAAAAAGTTTAGGGGTTGATTTTACTGTGAATGTAAAATTCAGTTGACTCTGTCAGTGAAATTCTGTATAATGGAAAGATTTGTTCACTTTACTACAGTTGACTTTCCACAATAAAGAAAATCAATTCCTAGTACCTGTCAGGCTCCACTCCCATAGAAGAAGTGCTGTAAAGCATGCAGATTGTACCAGAGGAGAAGCCATAGGGCAATGAAGATTGTACGGTGAATGAATACGAACAATTAAAAAGAGAGAAAGGTTCTTTTAAAAAATTTCTTTGTGACTTCGGAACACAGGACCAGGAGGAATCAGGTTCCAAATTCCTTCCAAATATAAAACCTTTGTTATACCGTGGTCCCTTTTTTGTCTTAAGCCTATCAAATGAACAGAGCAATTTGCTTCTTGTTTCTAACTTCCACATGAATGAATGCATACTACCAGCAGTGCCCCCTGTACCCAAGTCATTTGGGGCCTAGTCTAGAGGACTGGAATCTCTTAAATCAACATACCCATATGCAAAAAAGGGCAGAGTCCTTGCTTGTTTTGTGGAAATGGCCCACACTGCCCTCTGGGGGCAGAAATGTATTTTGAGTTTGCATTTGGAAATTGTTTAATATTATCCTTAGCATACAAGATTGAAATGATACAGTACTACAGATATTTGTGTTAAGAAATAATACTTTTGCATCATTTTGTAGCAGTCATCTTGGAACAGTAAAGACTAATTTAATGTAAAGAACTAATGATTCAAAGTGTTTCCTTTATTTTCTTTCTTTATTATTTTATATATTTTTTACATCATTTTTCATTTTTGCGCAATATATGCATTTTCATCTTGGTTATATTCCCCATACAATTCCTACCCCCCTTATTTTGACTCTGATCCCCCCCCCCAGCCCCCGTAGTGTGTCTCTGGTTTATAGTTGCTTGTTGATTTTGATTTTTACTTTATTATAATTAGTCTTTTTCCTGGTCCCTTATTTAGGTTTTCTAAATTCCTGCTATGAGTGAGACCATCCAGTATTTTTCTTTTTTTTTTTTTTTCTTATTTCACTGAGCATGATCCCTTCCAGCTCCATCCATGTTGCTGCAAATTGCATGAGTTTATCTTTTTTGATTCCTTTATTTTCTTAAGGAAAAGGATGCTGAACATTCTCCACCTTACCTTTGCTTTCTTATTGCTCTCTGGACTCTGCTTTTCTTAGTTTGCAACTATCCCCAATCTAGTGATATTTCCTCTTCTGTATTTTAGATAGTAGCATTTGTTATTCTCTTTGGCCCTTATTGATGACTTTCCATTATTAGTTATCTACTCTGTTTGTTAGGGGGAAAGGAAGTCCTGAACAAACTCCACACAGGTTTTGTAGACTTCATACCCACTCCAGACCAAAGCCATCAAGACACCAGGAACTACAAATCTCATCAGCACCGAAGGGATGGTTGCTGGGACCTGAGGGTGGAGTTAAGCAGCCAGGTTTGGTATAAAACCAGACATAGGGGCCTTGGGGGGGTCCTCTTGGCTCTTGGCTTGACTCTTGGCTTTTCACTGGCTCTCAGTGTGCCATTGGGATTCCAGGTCAGCGGAACTGGTAGGACGCATTCACCAATTTATCTCCCTCTCTTTCTCCCTAAGTTATCCATTTCTTCATTTCCTCTTTTGTAAAAAACTGTTTATTAACCTTTTTGTGTGTACCTGCAGTTGTGTCTTATTGTAAGTTCCCTTAAGCACACGGGTGAGGACCCACAGTCAGGGTTGCCGTGTACCATATTTGCATATCAGTCCTTATTTGTTTTGTCTGTATTTTATGTCCTTGAGGGCAAGGACTTCCTCAATTTCTTTGTTTCTTGCCATAATATCTACCACATAATAGATAATTGTTACTGATCAGTTTATTGTAGCAATTAATAGAACTAACCAGAAATATTTTTTTCACTGTTGACTCTTAAGGCAAATATTTATAAAAATTATTATGCTTTACCTCAAAATTACTTTTAAGTTCTTTTTATAAATCTTTTTTTTAATATTTATATATACAAGAACTGGGGTACAGGCCAGAAGTGTGGGGGGTGAGAGGATTCATGAGAGACAGAATGGGGAACAGAACAGGCAGATTGACTGAAGTACACTGCTGAGGGGAGCAGCAGGCGAGACAGGAGAGGTCTGCTGCGACATGTGGGTAGCTCCCTGCCGGCTAGGGATCGAACTTGTGCTGCAGTGGCTGCAGACAGCTTCATAGGTTGCGTCTTAACCCCTTGTGCCACTGGGGAGGCCCAAGTTAACCTCATTTTATTTATTTATTTTTTTAATTTTAATTTTTATTTATTTATTTTTTAAATAATAAATTTTATTTTTATATTCCCCATACAATTGCAGCCCCGCCATTCTGACCCCAATCCCTCCCCTCTCGCCCCCGCCCCCCCAAAAGTGTCTCTGGTTCATAGGTTAACCTCATTTTAACTTCATGATGCTTAGCATCAGTTTGTGTAGCTAGAGATATGGGCAGCATAATGGGACAGAGGATTAGTTTCCAAGGGGTCTTGGTGTGGAATTATGTATTTTTCCAGAAGTGCAAACAGTAGAAGTAATGATTAGTTTGAGTGGCAGTAGAGAGTTGCTTCCATGTTATTAGCTCATATGACGTAGATGTCTCAGGTAACATTCTAGGAGGTGACAGAAATGGAAGTACTGAAACCTGTTGATGATCCACTCCCCTCTTCAAGATGCCTCATCTACATTTCACTTTTGTTATTTGTTGTTATTTCTCTTCTCTCCTTGCTTAGAAATGCCTAGTCTCTTGATTGGACACTGTTAAAGTAATAGGTAGACCTAGCAATTTATTTCTGCAGATAGTTTAAATACAAATTTATTTGTACTCTTCTGTATATGAGTTTGAAAAATAACTGACCCATGATATTTTGTATTTGATGTTTTTATTGTTATCTTGAATTCTTAGTACATGCTTTCTCTTTTGTTGTTTATTTGGACTGCAGAAAAAATTCTAGTTTTAATCACTGGTCAGTTTGGTTCCAGTTAATCCAAGTTTATAATGCAGTATTACTTGACTATCATTGAATTATAAAAAATTAACTCCTTTTAAAATTTTTCTTTGTCTAAATCATACAAATCCTGTCATGTCAGCAAGACAATATACTCTATTTCAAAACTTTTAAAACTTGCGAACTAGTTTTAATCACCTCTTAAATAGATACCATAACTTGAATCAGTTTTTGTCTATGGTGGACTGTCTCATATAGTACTAGTTTTTTCATAGGTTCTCGATTAAACCTCATTTCTTTTAGGACTTGCCTCGTTTCCTATTCTTGTACTATTTCAAACTGTCCAGAAAATAAAATCGTTATAGAAGTTATTTTCTCTATGTAATTATTATAATGATCAATTTTGATATCATCGAGGAAGGAACTAAATTAAAACCATTTACCCCGTGAATATTATGTGTTTAGTATATACTTCTGTAGGTGTTAATTGCAAAGTCATAAAGAGCATCAGATTGTATTTCATTGTTATTATGAATTATTTTAATGATTTGATAGTCTTAATTGAAAATTAGTTTCTTATCCACCATAGTCCTGATAATCTTCTTATTTCATTTAGATTAATTTAAAGTTTGGTATCAGAAAACCAGAAGCTCGGACAGGAACTGAGACAGATACCTGTACAGCTTGTGCTGGCACCTTGATCCTTGAATTTGCTGCTTTAAGTCGATTCACAGGAGCAACTATATTTGAGGTTTGCTTTTATAATCCTTGATCTTTTGGGTATCGGGCATAACTAACTTTATATCTTCATTGGTCAAGTATTAGAATTATCAATTGGAGAGTTATTGTGATTTTAATGAACTTATTGTCTAACTTCAATCACATGGTTTTTAATTGTCAAAAACATAGTCATTATGAGGTCATTATATTAAATGCATTTTGCATTTTGTTCACAAACTATAAGATAAATACTTAGGTTTATTGTTCAAAAATTTTTTTAGCTGTATTATATGAATTTGATATCTCAAATGTCTTTTTAGACTTCTAGATGGTCTGTTGCACTTCTGCAATCTTCACTAATCTCCAAAGGAAGATTATTATCCAAGTTTCCACATCCCCTAAATGGCGTATTATAGATTATGTATCACACTTTTTATTTTATCTAATTATCAGGTGTCATTGGAGTTCAAGAGTAACACAAAGCGTCCTTTTTTACAAACTTGAGAGTCAGGAGAATGTTTTTTAATTCAGCAAATGGTGTACACAGAGCAAGCAGTATTAGGGAGTATATACCAATTTAGATATATATTAGAATTTATATAAAGTAAGTTATGTATTAGGATCTAAATAAAATAAATAACCTTTGTATGTATGTATGTGCAAAGTATCTTAAGGACAGACATAATACTCAGTTTAATTTTTACTTTGTACATTGTTGACTGATAATGTCCCTTTATTAAAAAGTATGATCACATTTGCATACTTTATAATTTAATTTGAACCTCAAACTCTCTGACATACTTGTGCATTTTCAGGTAAGAAAATTGAGGCTCAAAGAGGGTGAGATGTGCAGATAGTGAGTGGGTGGATGAGTGGACCTGAGCTGGAAAAAATGCCTTTCTGAATTCAAAACACATACTCTTTCCACTGGGCTGCTTTGTATTCATGAGTAAATCTGTTGAATCAAGTTATTTTTTTTTTTTTTTTTAGCTGTACAGTAATTTATTGTGAGGAAAGCAGCCTGATACAGTTGACAGAGCATTGATCCTGGGTTGGCAAACTATAGTCTGTGGGCCAAATCCAACCACTGCCTGTTTTAGTAACATTTTGGAACACAGCTGTGCTCATTTGTGTGTGGATTGTCTGTGGCTGCCTTTGTGCACTGATGACATCGTTGAGTAATTGTGGCAGTGACTGTGTTATCATAATGCCTTAAACATTTGCTCTCTGGCCCTTGTTAGGAAGTGTTTGCTGACCTTTGGTATAATGAATGAAAAGATCAAATCCTTATATTAGTTATCCTACAATTCAGTTACAGACTTCAGTTAAATCTTTATTTCACTGAGTCTGTCTTTTTAACTCTAAGATAAGAGGAAGGAAATAGAAACTTTGTGAAACATACCATTTAAGTAAGATTGTAATCGGCCTTGTTTTTAAAAATCAGCATAAATAGGTTGAATTGAGAATTAAAATTGCTTTGGACTATACATTTAAATCTCCAAAATGAGAAATTGATTTATTTCTTTGTTTTTGTTTATTTTATTTTATTTTTTATGTTAACATTTATCATTTTTTAAATTTTTTAGACAATATTTGCTTCCCCCCACTCCCTCAGATTGAGTCCCCATAGAATTTCCTTCCCCAAGGCACCTGTGCACCATCACCACTGTCCCCTGTGCTCCTCCCTCCCTCCCTCTGATCCCTCTCCCACCTCCTCCCCTGCAGTATGTCTCTTGTTTCATAATTGTCTATTTTTGCTTTGTTGTGTTTTGTACTGTTATTATTGTTATTTTTTACACTGATGTTTTGTTTGGTTCCCCTATATTCCTGTTATAAGTGAAACCATCTGATATATTTCTTTTTCCTTGTGGCTTATTTCACTGAGCATAATTCCTTCTAGCTCCATCCATGTTGCTGCAAATGGCATGGGTTTATCTTTTTTGATTGCTGAATAATATTCCTTTGTGAATAATATTCCTTTGTGTATATATACCACATCTTCTTGATCCAGTCATCTATTTTTGGGCATTTGGGTTGTTTCCAGGTTTTGCCTATTGTAAAGACTGCTGCAATAAACATAGGTATACAGGTGCTCTTTTGAATTACTATTTTTGTGTCCTTTGGGAAGATCCCTAGTAGTGGAATTGCTGGGTCATGTGGTAGCTCCATTTTTAGTAGACTGAGGAACCTCCAGACAGCTTTCCACAGTGGTTGGACCAGTTTGCTTTCCCACCAGCAATGTAGGAGAGTTCCTTTTTCACCACATCCTCGCCAACATTTGTTGTTGCTTGTTCTTTTGATATGTGCCATTCTTACTGGCGTAAGGTGGTATCTCAGTGTGGTTACCAAAATGACAAATTGATTTAATGGTTTTTTTTCTTTCATAGAAATACTTATGTAATGCTAAATAGATTCATGATCTGAAAATTAATTTTAACTTAGATATTCTGTACATATCCTTTGTTACTTATGTTTTGTAAAATCTTTTCATTCGAACCCAAAAATTTGATCAGAAGTCATGTTAATTTATTGCCCATTGGAAAGAATAAATGATAAAAAGAAAGTGTTATAAAATTGTAAGTTTGATATTGTCAGATTAGTACTTGTTGATTTACTTTTCATTAACAAGGTTGCGTGCTGTTTAAAAAGTAGGATCTGTATTTCCTGTTTGTTTAAAAGATAGCATACCAATTTGGAAATTCTCTTCCAATTTTCTAAATATAAGATTTTTGCTTTGCATTTAGATGATGTAAATAGAAGAGCATTAAGTGTAGAGAAACATGGATGTGATTTTATAATGAGATCACTGTCACTAAATAGCACTTTTGGAGTCATTCTTTTCAATTAGAATTGATTGAAAAAGAGCAAAAATATTACTTGTAAGGATATTTAATGTACATTATAAATGATTATCTTAGAAATTTTACTTGATTCTTTGAATATACTATGAGTCTTTGATTTTTGCTTCTTGGTATCCCCTTGTTCCAAGACTGCAGTTCTTTTAAGTTTGTCTCTTTTTTAAAATTACAGGAATATGCAAGAAAAGCTCTTGATTTTCTTTGGGAAAAAAGACAACGAAGTAGTAATTTAGTGGGCGTGACTATAAATATTCATACTGGAGATTGGGTACGAAAAGGTACGTAAATTGAACTTTATAAATCAAGCCTTCACATCCTTAGAATAGTTGAGAAATAATAGTTTTTCCGGTGTTGAAATTATCTGGAGGACAGCATAATGCAGTTTCTCACAAGATTCCTGGAATTTGAACTAATCGAGCCATATTGTCTTTGGTACCAAGTAATAATAGCATTCTTATTCTGGCTGATTTAGTATTCTCTTCCAAACATTTGTATGGCATTAAAGATACAGATTGACTTGTCATAGGATTATGTCCTAATAAACCCTTCCCATCCTAACTTGAAATGCAGTTAATACAACTAACTTACCGAACATCATAGCTTAGCCTGACCTACCCTAAACATGCTCAGATACTTACATTAGTCTGCAGTTGGGCAAAATCACCTTACACAGAGCTGTTTTATGCTAAAGTATTCAGTATCTCATAATTTGTTGAATACTGAACTGAAAGCGAGAAACAAAATGGTTTTACTGATTCTCACATTCATGTGCACAACTAAACATGCTTAGCCTGAAGAATGTTTGAAGTGTTGGCCTAAAATGAATTCGTGGATGATGAGTATGCTACAGTAGAAGTGTCATCAATTTCTCTTCTGATTAATTAACTCATTTAATCCTCATAACAATTTTAATTGCTTCGAACAGTGTCTGGCATATGCTGTACTTACTTATGAAATAAATGTTCACTGATGTGATATTAGTCTCTTTGATGAATAGTTTCACTTCTGGGAATCTAGTGTGAGGAATAATACAAAATGTAGAAAATTATTTGTTCCTAAAGATATTCACTTAATTATTTATAAAAGAAGGAAACTTGGAAATCGTTAATCAATAAAATCATAGGTAGAAAGTCATTTTACGATAGCCTTTCATTTTCTTTGGTGGTTTTGCTTTCTATATTTGTTTATCCTTTATAACCAGTATTACACACAATGATATTTTGAGAGAGAGATCACTTTATATAACTTCTATTTTTATTAAGTATAGTTATAATTGTTCTATTTTATTATTCTGTTAATTTCTTACTGTGCCTAATTTATAAATTAAACTTCATCATAAGTATAGGAAAAACATACATAGGGTTTGGTACTATTTGTGCTTTCAGGTAAGCCCCTGGGTGTCTTGGGTAAGGGGGAGACTACTGTTCATCACTGTTGGAATATTAACTGATTAAAATTAATTGGAATCATGGGACAAAGCATATAGCAATGTTATTTGAACAAATAGGATATAATATTATATGATGAATATGATTTTGTCTTCATCAGAGTGCCCTATAAAACAAACATAGGCCAGTGGAAATATTTTAGAATATTCCTAATGAAATTGCCTTGTTTATACATGTTCTGTTTTCCAAAAGGCTTATGTTATTATATATAAAATTGAAAAATGACCTATATTTAAGTAAATGGGAGCAATATATTACTAATTTGAGCATATTAAAACTGTTTCCTTTCTTTAATATTGTATAAAATTTTTGTGACTGTTTATCTAAGTGTTTCCTGAACTGTAACTCCTGGCTTCTGAATCCTGCAGGGATTTTTGGGTTTTTTTAAGCCCACTTTGAAACTTAGGTGCAAGTTCATTGATCATAATTAATTTTGAATTAATCATAATTCTTAGTTTATGGCACTTTCATCTTTGATTCATTCATGGCCCATTTAGTCATTCGTTTAAAATAATGTGATAATTCAGATGTACAATAACCCATACATGGACCATCCATTACAAAAGCAACTTGACAACATACTACTTCTGCTGTGTTCCTTGATTTTCCCTATTTCTGCAATCCTACACCTCTGCTTTCTCTAATTCAAATAACTACCATTCTTACCTCGTCATCATTTTCTTTCATTATTACATCTGTATGCATAAAGAGTATGCTTTTTGTTTTGCTGTAAATGTCATAAAAGGATATTGTGTCACCAGAGACAGTGGGGAACAGAACAGGCAGACTGACGAAATACACTGCTGAGGGGAGCAGCAGGTGAGACAAGAGAGGTCTGCTCTGCCATGTGGGTATCTCCCAGCCAGGAATCGAACGGGCATTGTAGAGGCTGCAGACAGCTTCACAGCACTGCGCTCAACCTGCTGCGCCACTGGGGAGGCCCACTTTCCCTTTTTTTGATATGGATGTTTTTGTATTTTATCCACTTCCTGTTGGGTTATTTGTGGATGTTATTGATACCTGTGTGTAATTCATTGATGTTTTCATTTTGGACTAGAACAGTTTTTATAAATGTTACATAGGGGCTTAGGAAAAACTATATTTTTTCTAGTTGTTTGGATATAGAATTCTGTATATGTCAAATAAAATATTTTTTCGTAATTCTTTGGCTGTGGAACTCTGTATATGTCGAATTGCTTAGTTAATAACGTACAGATCCTTGCTGATTTTCTGCTTGCTTGACCTATCAGTAATTAAGAAAGGTGGGTGAAGGTATCTGACAATGATCATGGACATATTAATATCTACTTTTGCTTTATATATTTTATTGGGTGCATTTTTCTTTTTATTGGGTTCGTTCTGTTAAAATTGCTCTTTTTTTAGTTGAACTTTTCACCATTATGGAGTGACCATCTCTAATAATACACATTGTGTTAGTCTCTTTAACCTGATGGCAGTACAGCTATAATAGCAGCTTTATTTTGCTATTTAATATTTGCCTGATAAACCTTTTTTTCTGTCTTTTTACTTTTAATCTTCATAGATCTCATGCTAAAAGTGTAACTCTTAACAAAATTTATAGATTAAAAAATCCATTTTGTCAGTCATTGTCTTTTAATTGGTAAGTTTAGTCCATTTATGTTATTTTTAACATATTTAGACTTATTTATATTGTCTTATTTCAGTGTCCCACCTTTTCTGTGTTTCTCTTTTATCCTTTTTTTTTTAAAGATTTATTTATTTGTTTGTCTGTTTATCCATACAAGCACTGGGTACAGTCAGCAGCGCGGGAGGGTGAGAGAACTCAGCAGAGGCAGAGCAGGGAGCAGAGCAGGCAGAAGGACCGAAGTACACTGCTGAGGGGAGCAGCGGGCGGCAGGAGAGGTCTGCATGCCATGTGGGACCCTCCTCCAGAGGTCTGCATGCCATGTGGGACCCTCCTCCGGTGGCCGGGGAGCAGCCGGGGATCGAACCGGCGCCGCATAGGCTGCCGGCAGCTTCGCAACCCAGCGCTCAACCGCTGTGCCACCACGGAGGCCCTATCCTTTTGTTTTTAATTGGAACCTATATTTACCTCCTGTAAGACGTTAATTTAGCATGCTCTTCAAGCCCTTTCCCCGCCCCCTCGCCCCCACTTTCACACCCCTTCCATTATGTTGATATCATGTAGATCTTTAGTTCTTATTGACTATGAGTATGTCTTTTGTTAGTGCTGCCCCCTCCCTCTTTCTTTAAAGATTGCAAACTTTATTAAGGTATTCGGTCACTTGCACATTGCTTATTGCTTGCAACAATTGTTAGATTTGTTTCTTTTCTTATATAGGAATTCATTCCATACTGTTTGCAGTAACTTTCAATAACTTTGAAGGACTTACATAACGTAGTAATTTTATTATACTTTTACACTTGAGTGACAGTTTGGTTGTATATAATTTTCTGTTTAAATTCTTTTCCTGCAAGTCTTTGAAAATTTAATTCAGTTGTCTTTTTACATCCTGTTAAAAAATTTGACATTATTTTGATTTTTATATCCTTATATGTGATTTAGTCTTTCTCTTCGAAGATTAAAACTATCAAAACTAAAAAGAGACTTCTAAAACTGACACTATAATTTTAGGTGTATAATTATTCTTTATCTTTCCTTTTGGCATTCTGTAGGTCCTTTTATTTCAAATCTTTGTGTTTTTAATTGCTGAAAATTGACTTTTTTAAACATACTTCATCCTTTCATATTTATTTGTCACTGTTTTTGCTATTCCTATTAGCTAAATCACTTAGGTTTCTACCCTCCATATATCTAAACTTATGTATGTATTTTTTCTCTTGTATTCTTTTGGTGCTGTATGTGCCATCTGATATGTTATTTTCATTGTTAATATAGTTTTATATATTTCTGTTTGATGAAATTTTTTTATTTCATTTTGTATTGCTGATATCTTCCTTAACCCTTGTATATATTTATTAGGACAATTTTAAATTAATTTGCATGTTGTAATATTTCCTCTTCTGATACACTCTTCCTCCAGTACTTCCTTATTTAAAGTCAGTCTTCTTAAATGTATTTGCCCTACAAGTTCATATTCTCTGGTCAGATCCCAGTCCTTACCAGCCCAGGTGTTGTTAAGGATAAATTCTAAGAAATTTTTTAAAATACTGTTTTCTGGAGACTTAACATTTGGATTTACTTGGCCTGAGGTGTGTCCTGGGTATAGGGATTTCTAATGTTATAGTTGAAATTATACTTTACATCATAAATCACCAGACTTAGGAGTTTGAAGGGGGAAAGGTGCACAAGAGAAAGTGTAAAGTTAGTTCCCCCTTCCTTTGCTCAGTTTTTACTCAGGGCTTCAGTGCTGCCCTGATTTTATGCCTCAGGTTGCCTGGAACGTAGATCTGAGTCCTATCAGGTGTGGGAGGAAACAGAGACAAAAGCCAAGCACCAGCAAGTTCTTTCTTCTTCACCTTACATAGTCATACCTGGCAACCTTCTGTTCCAGGCTGAAGCCATTGTCCTCTTCCATTAGCCCACTCCCTTCCAGAGTTCTTATTTTGTTATTTTCTTTCTTTGGTCCTCTGTAGTGATCTTGGAGAAAGAAGTCAGCAATTGTGCTAGTTTCAGCAATTAGAATTGGGATCTCCAAAAAGTAATAGTCTTGTTTTTGTATCTGTTATAACTCTAACTCTATTGATTGTGTGGGGAGGGTGTCTGATTTTTTTTTTATAAAAATGCATAATGATGCCCTCTGTACTTGCTCACTGTGCTATTCCTCACTGAGAAAATGAGCTTTAAAAAATTTCTTAAAATTGGTATCTCTATTTGTAAATAAGATCTCCAGTTTTGCAAAATAGGATGTTTTTACATACAATTATCAACAAAGGAAGTATTACATAGTAAAGTTAATATTTCACTAAGTATGTAATTTTTACTTTAAACAGACAATTTCATGTTTAGATTAATTTTTTATTTTATTGTACTAGTACCTAACTCACTTGTATCTATAAAGAATTTTGATACTTTTTTAATAATCACATTTATATGTATTTTCCATAGATAGTGGAGTTGGAGCAGGGATTGATTCATACTATGAATATTTATTGAAAGCCTATGTCTTGCTTGGAGATGACAGTTTTCTGGAAAGATTTAATACGGTAAGTTGATCCAATTTTGTAAAATTTTTAAAGTCAACTTAATTTGAATGCCAATTTGTAGAAATTCAGTAACATTTTGTAAAATTTATTTTAAAATAAGTAGTAGCTTTTTTGTCAGTATTCCCTGATGATGACATTGGGCAGAGACATACATAAAAGTTATATATGTTTCAGTAGTCAGTTTTTTCAGAGTAGTTTTTTCAGAAGTTTTCAAAACCTGCCAGTAAATAATAGAATATGTAGGTTTGAGTTCTACATAATTTTTTATAAAAGGAAGAGAATTTATTGGAATGAGTTACTAGTTAACTTTGTCCTTTGGATTTCCTATTTTAGAAATTTTTCCTAACCCTTGATTGCACAAAATGTGCAGGGTTTTGGAGACTTTAAGACACTAGAATATTTATTTCAAAAATAGTGCTAAAATCTTAAGTTTGGATCAGAACCACAGACATATTTTTAGAGAAGGAGGTGGAGAATTGAAATGAATTGAAATATAGCAAACTAATTAGCTGATTCACTGTATTTTTTTGAAATCCTTTTTACCATTTCTTTGTCCATCCATCAGTTTGCTGTGAGACAGTAATAAGGTGGTTAAGATGTATATGGTAGGAGTTGTGTCCTGCCTGGGTTTATAAATCTTTGTTGTACCACTGGTTTTGTGATTTGGGGCAAGTTAAGTTATGCTATTTGACTGTGTTCCTCATCCACAAAATGGTAATACTAGTACTCTTTAGAGTTATTAGGAGGATTAAATGAGCTCATGTACAGGAAGTGATTAGAACAGTGCCTTAACATATAGCAAATACTCAATAATGGTTATTGAATAATAGGTGAAATGTGGGAAAGTAATGAGTCCTAATAAATCATCAATTGAATACTTTAAAAACACTTACCATACATTGTTTGTTAGATTATAACAATGTTTTCTTGAGGTGAATGAGGACAGATTATTTTTAGTTGGCTTGTTATCATTCTTTGATTCTGATAACTCAATCTGTTTTCAAAGCTCAGGAATATCTAGGGGAAGATGATAAAAGAGGAGAAGGAGTTCTTAAGAACATAGAAGGTAGAGGTAACAGACCTCTAGTGATTAGATGGGTTAGTAGGTAGGGTGGAGATTATTTTGTTAGCTGAGAAGGAGCCAAATTTCCTAGATATAAGGGGAAAAAACTGTTATGAAAGCCTCTGACTGTTTCAAAGGCTGCAAGAGCATCATTAACCACGGGCTAATCATGGACTAATCCCACAGCATAGAGATGTTCCAGTCTTCCCCTAGTTCATCCCATATTAAATACAGTGTTTAACATTCTGCATCAGGGTTGAAGAACACAGGGGAGTGTATATATTTTAGGAAGATTTTCATCTAAAATAATTTAAGTATTTAATTATTAACTTACATCTAAATCAGGTTTAATTTTTTCATGGTGCTATTTAATGAAATGCTGTGTTAAGAATAGAACATCTTTGTGCATTTAGTTTCATGAATGTATATTGTGCTTTTTTAGCACTACGATGCCATCATGCGGTACATCAGCCAGCCGCCTCTCCTACTGGACGTCCATATCCATAAGCCAATGCTGAATGCTAGGACTTGGATGGATGCTTTGCTTGCCTTTTTCCCAGGTTTACAGGTAAAAAGAACTCTGCTATATTTTCTAATAGTAAAATAAATGGTTTTATTTAAGTGTATTTGTGATCTCTCCAATTTAACCACCAAAATGGGATCACATTTCAAAATTGTGTTAATGTACATCTTTTTGTTTATATGATTACAGATAAAATATACCTGCAACCAATTAGGTAATTTTGTTGTTATTGTTGACTTACAGGTCTTAAAGGGGGATATTAGACCTGCTATTGAAACTCATGAAATGTTATATCAGGTGATTAAAAAACACAATTTTCTACCAGAGGTAAGCAAGTAATTCTTGGGATTCTAATTTTATATACTATGAATTACTAATTTAGAGGTAGAAAATACCATTTTTTAGTCTGGTTTGTTCTTTTCCTAAATAATTTGTTTAATTAATTTTTGGCTTCTATAGTATTTTATGTTTTTCCTTCTCTTCATGCATTAAAGAAGTCTAGTTTAGGGTAAAGCTGACATTTTATGTAAAAAAAATGCCAATTTAGTGTTTTTTAACTTTTTCTAATCCATGCCATTGCAGTATTATCTCATTCTAACTTTTACATAAATCCACCAAGTGAGAGGCCTTTTTACTTTACATTTTTTAAACCTTATTTTATAAAAATTATGTATTTTATGAAAACAATGTGCATTAAGTGTATCTATGTTGATCACACATGTTGCTGGAAGGAGAATGCCAGCTTTCCTCCTGCTGATTGAAAATTGCTCTTCCTGGCTTTTGTACATTATATTAGTAGGAAATATTCTTGCTCATTTGATTTGGCAAGATTTCAATAGCAAACTTTTTAAAAATTTCACAAATATACCATTAAAAATTTCCAAATTCATGTATGACCTTGTTCTACCACTGCTTATCAGCTGTTCTCTCAGAGATATCTTAAGATTTCCTTAGAATGCTTCCTAAAATGTTTACTTTGGAAAATGTCATTTTATTAGCCTTCAGGTGAGTAGGACTGTCCATTATAAAAAAGTCATATCATTTAGAATAAACTGAGGTTTCAGCTAAATACATTGTGTCACAAATGGTTCTTTTTTCTATTTTTATTTAAATTTGACTTGTTGAATAAATTTCAAGTGACTAGTTTTATTTTTATTTTTTTTAAAGATTTATTTATTTATTTATCCATTCATTCGTTTATTTAATTATACAAGTACTGGGTACAGTCAGAAGCGCGGGAGGGTGAGAGAATTCACCAGAGCCAGAGCGGGGAGCAGAACAGGCAGAAGGACCGAAGTCCTTCTGAGGGGAGCAGCGGGCTCCCCTGCTGAGGGGAGCAGCGGGCGGCAGGAGAGGTCTGCCCGCCATGTGGGACCCTCCTCTGGTGGCCGGGGAGCAGCCGGGGATCGAACCAGCGCTGCAGAGGCTGCGGGCAGCTTCGCAGCCCAGTGCTCAACCGCTGTGCCACCGGGGAGGCCCTAGTTTTATTTTTAAATAATACCTCTTGTTCTACAGAGGATTTGAGTTTGTTATAAAAGAAAGCATAACTAAAATAGAAATAGGAGTAGAGGGCCTCCCCTGGTGGCCCAGGCTTTTGATCACAGCGCAGTTAAGCTGTTCGCAGCCTCTGCAGTGCAGGTTTGATCCCGGCCTGCCATCAAGAATCCCACATGGCGCAGCAGACCTCTCCTGTCTCGCCCGCTACTCCCCTCAGGACTGTGTTTCAGTCAGTCTGCCTGTTCTGTTCCCCACTTTGTCTCTGGTGAATCCTCTCACCCTCCCCCACATCTGGCCTGTACCCCAGTTCTTGTACGCAGGAATAAATAAATCTTTAAAAAAAATAGTAGAGAATTAATAATTAAGGGGAAAAAGAGAATGAATAAAGAAAAAGTTATGTAGACTATTAAGACCCATGTAGAATCATGGCCAAGTCTCATTTAATTCTGAGCTTCCCAGTAGCCAAATGATCAATTTGAAAAATAATTTCATTTAATTGGTAAAAACAGCAACCTGGCAAAAATGAATTGTGATTTTAAGCAATGAAAATTTTCATTTTATTGTTGAAAATTGTTATAATCAGTGTTTCTTGTTTATAATCTAGTTTATGTACTGTATATCCTAGAACCGCTTGTTTACTTATTTTTTAACAAGTTTAATGCTTTTTTGTTGCTTTGTTTAGGCATTTACCACAGATTTCAGGGTACATTGGGCTCAACATCCTTTAAGGCCAGAATTTGCAGAAAGTACCTACTTCTTGTATAAAGTAAGCTAATGTACTTCTCCTTTGCTGTTTAGTCTCCATTCTCTGTTGGGTATTTTACTACATCACAAAAATAATTGGGTCTTTGATGTCATTGTATGAGGTTGTAATCATTGGTTATATCACACCTTTTATTCATCGAGTCCCTGGGGTAATTGAAACATGTAAGAATTGACATACAAATTTTATGCCTTTTCAAAATACGTATATAATAAAAAGAAATTTTATATTCTAGAGCTGCTTTCTAGTCATGTCTCTCTTGCCTTCCTTTACTTAAGTGTAAAGATTAAATACACACAGTTGGACAGCTTTTCAACTCTGTTTAGCAAATTTTGATTGTGACTTATTTTGAGAACTAGGTTCTGTGTAGCATGTGTACCAATTCCTGATACATTGCCTGGCACCTTGCGGGTACGCAGTAAATATTTGATAAATGAATGGGTGTGTATGGTAAAATATAAGTTATATAATGTATATGTATATTCTCTTTTTCAACAGGCTACAGGAGATCCTTATTACCTTGAAGTAGGGAAAACACTTATTGAAAATCTAAATAAATATGCTCGAGTGCCTTGTGGATTTGCTGCCATGAAGGATGTTCGTACTGGAAGTCACGAGGACAGGTAAATCAAATCCAAACATCCCCTTTCCTCAGGTAACCCCAAAACAGTAGAAATGCAATTATTTGTTAAGAATTCAGGTGAATATAATGTTTTTACAGAGGGTATTTGAAGATGCAAACCTAGTTCTTTTTTTTTTTTTCCAGGTTGTAAAGATTTATTTTACTGAGAGGCCTAACATCATGTGTTGTCTTGAATTAAGTTCATTTAAAATTGTTTGAAAAGTTTTTATTTATATCATAATGCCTGGCTTATATAGTCAATGCTCAAGACTTTTTAAATAGATGAATAAATGATTGTTAACTCAAAATCTTGGTGTTAAAAGTATTAGGGATATTATATTTTTTCTTCGTTTTTTATATTATATAAAATGTTTAAAATTACAAAGATGATCTAGATTATGATTCATATTCAATCAAGAACTCTTCAAAAGCAATATTGTGGTTTATGTGTGTTTCATATTCTATTGCTAATTTAGAAGGCTCAGGAGACCATTGGCAATTTCTCTTTCGTTAAATACTGGATAGACATAGATGACATGAAGTATTTAAGATAGGAAAAGCACTCTTTGGTTTATGTGATATTCATGACTTTTCAGTTATTCCAAGATCACTTAACTGGTTATTTTGACTGTTCTGAACATAGCAGTACATCTCTAACTCAAAGCTAAAATTTATTTGCATATTTGGTTAGCAAATTTTCATTCCACAAGTATGTATATCATATATGCCAAAGCATTGTAACACTAAATTATTTGTACAGTTACATATATTATCCTCTTTTGTCTTCACATTCCCTTCTCTTTATTTATGTATGTTTTACATCATTGTTCCTTTTTGTACATTGTTTTCTCCATATTCCCTTCTCGATAGTGTTCATGTTTACAAAGTTGTTATAACCATAGTGCATATGATTGTATGTTGTACTTTTTTCATGCACAAAACTTTTTGTAAGTGATTTCCTTTACCTTCAGAGCCTTCTTATTTATCACTCACAGGAGTACATTTTAAATGCCATCAAAATTTGTTTACTTTATTTATCAGTTAATATTGAAGTCTTTAGAAATAAAGTTCATCTGCATTTCCCTCCCGCTTTTGGTTCTCTGTAGATGAAATAAAAAAACTATCCTTCATTCAAAGACTAATGATCTTAATGCAATATTGACAAGATTTTGTACCTATGTGGTAGCCAACCCTTGTGGTCTTTTCTATTTCCTTGGAATATGCTTTGGAGACAAGGCTATTCTGAAGTGAGGGATGGATAAGTCTAAATTGGTTTAGACAGACTTGCTGACCTTGACTTTGTGGATTCAGATAGGTGGCATTTGAATATTTTTATGTTCTTAGTTTTACTTGTGACTTTTTATTTTAGAATGGATTCTTTCTTCTTGGCCGAAATGTTTAAATATCTTTATCTATTATTTGCGGATAAAGAGGACATTATTTTTGATATAGAAGATTACATTTTTACAACAGAAGCCCATCTGTTACCTCTTTGGCTCTCTACTACAAATCAAAGCATCACTAAGAAGAACACAGTAGGTTATATCTTTGGATTAAATATCTCATTCTTTTTTTACTTCTTTTGTGCTTGTTTCACTTTTCCAAGTCAAAAGTAGTCCACAACTAGAATTTAATAAATATATGTATGATAGGTAGAAAAGACTATTTGATATTTTGCTTTCTTTTATTGCACCCTATATGTGCTCATATGTCATTGTTTCCTTTGAACAAACTATAATGTTTTGTAAATTAATTATTTTTATTACCATGACATTCTTTTATATTTTAGACTTCAGAATATACAGAACTGGATGACAGTAATTTTGATTGGACTTGTCCAAATACTCAGATTCTCTTTCCTAATGATCCACTGTATGCTCAGAGTATTCGTGAACCCTTGAAAAATGTGGTGGATAAGAGCTGTCCCAGAGGCATCATCAGAGTGTAAGATGTATTATTTTATATTTGTTAATATCAAAGTTAATTCTTAGTAAATGACAGAATGTAAGGAACATACTACATCCAAGAGGACCTTCACTTAAGCCAAAAATTTTGAGGTATTATAAATTTTGTCACTGATTAAAATAAAGTTAGAGAGAAAAACTTATTATGCTGTAATGTCTATATTATGGAAATTTTCTGTGTATCTTTTGTTTAAGGAAATTAGTAATGTTAGACTCTGGGCAGTATGTAATAGTTTTTACTTCTGTAGCTCATTTTTACACAGTAGTTTCATCAAATTTTTCCATATATCTTATAGCTGTAGAACATTTTTTTCTTTATCGTTTCTATATAGTGAAAATACAGGGTGCGTTTGTTTTGCTTGATAATATTTTTTGATGAGGTATTTATTCTTGGCTGTTAAAAAATTTTTTGGCTTAATGAGTTCATTTTCTTCCAATAGTGTTGTCAGAAAGACCATTACTAAAAAATAAGTTTAATGAGGATTGTCATTCACTAATATAAGTATTATTTTGCTTTTAAAGTATTGGGAGAAAAATCTGTGTTTTTTGAGCCAGAAATCAATAATTAGAAATCATCAAGCCAAATTATTCTGGATAGTTATAATACTGTTGACTAATACTGGTTTATAGTATTAGTAATTGTTTTTGTAAGTGTCAAGTATTATATTTGAAATCTATACCACTTGTTGATAACCTAAATTATATGTAGGAAGGCAAGTGTTTCCAATTATTCCAGTTCTACTAATTCTAAAACTAGCAAATTTGCAGATATCTAATATTTTTATTTGGCTAATATTTTTTACCAGTTCTGATTTGTAGTTTTTAAGTCTTGCCTATAATTACTTTTAGCAGAGAGGAGAGTTTGAGGAGTGGAGCTAAACCCCCTCTGAGAGCCAGAGATTTCATGGCCACTAACCCTGAGCATTTAGAAATCCTGAAGAAGATGGGGGTGAGTTTGATTCACCTCAAAGATGGGAGAGTCCAGTTGGTCCAACATGCAATTCAAGTAAGACATTGCTACACTAATCAGATATCATCACTGCCTTTTGTGATCTCATTAGTTTTAATAAGGATAGTGACATTTGGCTTTTTAAAAACTTTTAATATGTGGTTTAAAGTTAGAGAATCAGAATTTTAAGGCTGAGAAGTGTCTTGGAAAACCTTCTGATTTGGCCCCTCCATAGTATAAGGCACACTTTAGAGATATTGTAGGTAAAGTAAATATGAAGTGAGTCACATGAGTTTTTTTGGTTTCCTAGTGCATATCAAACTTATGTTTTATGCTGTATTCGGTTAACAGTGCAGTAGCATTCTGTCTAAAATAAGTACATACCTTGCTTAAAAATATACTTCATTGCTGAAAAGTGCTAACCATCATCTGAGAATGGAGGGTCTTGCCTTGATGTTGATGGCCACTGACTGCTCAGGTTCCTGAATTTCGGGTGGCCATGGCAATTTTCTAAAAATAAGACAGTGTTAAAGTTTGCTTCATTTACTGACACTTCCTTTCATGAAAGATGTCTCTGTAGCATGCAGTGTTGTTAGATAGCATTTTACCCATTGCAGAACTTCTTTCAAAATTGGAGTCAGTCCTCTCAGATCCTGCTGCTTTTTCAGGAACACACTTATGTAATATTCTAAATCTTTTGTTGTCATTTCAACAATGTCACAGCATCTTCGCCAGGAGTAGATTGCCATATCAAGAAATACTTTTTTGGCTCATCCATAAGGAACAATTCCTCACCCACTGAAATTTTATCACGAGATTGCTACAATTCACATCTTCAACCTCTACTGCTAGTTCTAGTTCTCTTGCTGTTTCCACCACATCTGCAGCTACTTCTTGTACTAAAGTCTTGGACCACTCAAAGTCATCCTTGAGAGTTGGAATCAGCATCTTCCAAACTTCAATTAATGTTGATAATTTGCCCTCCTCCTGAATCACTAATGTTCTTAAAGGCTTCTAGAATGGTGAATCATTTCCAAAAGGTTTTCATTGGACTTTGCCTAAATCCATCAGAGGGATCACTATGTATGGCAACTAGATTTATGAGACCTTTTTTAAGTAATAAGACTTGAAAGTCTTAATGACTCCTTTATTGGCTGCAGAATGGGTATTGTATTAACAGGTATTTAAGCAACATTCATCTCCAGTGGAGCTCTTAGGTGATCAGGAACATTTTCAATGAGTATTAATATTTTGAAAGGGATCATTTTTTCCTGAGGAGAAGATCTCAACAATAGATCTTAAATATTCAGTAAACAAAATTGTAATCAGCTGTGCTGTCAGCCAGGCTTTGTTCCATTTAGTAGATCATAGGCAGGGTAAATTGAGCCTATTTCTTAAGTGCCCTGGGAATGGTAAGTGAATCCTAGCTTCCATTGAAAGTTAACTGCATTAACCCCTAACAAAAGTGTCAGCCTATTCTTTAAAGCCAGGCATTGCCTTGTCTGTAACTATGAAAATCCTCGCTGGTGGGCCTCCCCTGGTGGCGCAGTGGTTGAGCTCTGGGTTGCGAGGCTGCCTGCACCCTCTGCAGCGCCAGTTCGATTCCCGGCCACCGGCGAGGGTCCCACCAAAAAAAAAAAAAAAAAGAAAGAAAAATCCTTGCTGGCATCTTTAAATAGAAGGTTGTTTCATCTACACTAAAAATCTGATGTTCAATGTAGCCACCTTCATCAATTATCTTAGCTACATCCTCAGAATAACTTGCTATAACTTCTATAGCAGCACGTGCTGCTTCACTTTGCACTTTTGTGTTACGGAGATGGCTCCTTTCCTTAAAACTCATGAACCAGCCTCTCAGCTTCAAACCTTTCTTCAGCTTCCTCACCTCTCTCAGCCTTCATAGAATTGAGGATTAGGGTCATGTTCTGAATTAGACTTTGACTTAAGGGAACTTTGTGACTGGTTTTATCTTCTATCCAGATCATTAAAACTTTCTCTGTATCAGTAATCAGGCAGTTTCACTTTCTAATTCATGTGTTCACTAGAGTAGCACTTGTAATTTTCATCAAGAACTTTTCTTTTGCATTCACAACTGGGCTGATTGTTTGGCAGGAGACCTATCTTTCAGCCTGTCAGGGTTTTCAACATGCCTTCCCTACCAAAGTTGATCATTTCTGGCTTTTGATTTAAACTAGAAGACATGCAACTCTTCCTTTCTCTTGAACACTTAGAGAACAATTTTTTAAGGTTATTAAATTAGCCTAATTTCAATATTGTTGTGTCTCAGGAAAGAAGAAGACTAGAGGTAAGGGGGAGAGTTAGGGTAATGGTCGGTGAGTGGAACAGTCAGAACACACACATTTATGGAAAAAGTTTGCCATTCTATGTTTGTGCAGATATTAACATCAGAAGTCACTGATCACAAATCACTATAGCAGATACAGTAATAATGAAAAGTGAAAAATATTGTGAGAATTAGCAAAATAACACAGACACATGTGAGCACATGGGTTGACAGATATGCTGGACACGAGATCACCATAACCTTCAATTTGTAAAAACTGCAGTTTTCTAAAGTTCATTAAGGCAAAGTGATGTTTGTATTCATCAAATCACAGATGGGTCGGGTAATTTGCTTTAAGTTCATACGGTCAAATGTAACACTCACTCATATCTCAGTTTTTTGTTTCTCAGTCATTTTACTTTCCACTATTTTTAGAGCATAATCTTAAAAATTAGTAATCAGTTTTAATATTTATAGCTCTATATTTTACATTATTTTAGTTTCCAAAAAACTACTGGCCCTATGTATTTTATTTACCATAAAAAATAAACTTTGAGGGCCTCCCCTGGTGGCTCAGCTGTTGAGCGCTAGGTTGCGAAGCTGCCCGCAGCCTCTACAGCGCTGGTTCGATCCCCAGCCACCTGTAAGGGTCCCACATGGTGTGCAGACCTCTCCTGCTGCCCGCTGCTCCCCTCAGCAGTGTATTTTGTCGTTCTGCCTGTTCTGTTCCCCACTCTGGCTCTGGCGAATTCTCTCCCCCTCTTGCGCTTCTGACTGTACCCAGTGCTTGTATAAATAAATAAATAAATCTTTTAAAAAAAAACAAACTTTGATTTGCATGAAGAGGGTCATATAGAACTACCACTAACTAGAACCTTCTCACATTTAAAAGAATAAGTTCTCTTTTGTCAGTTACTTAGATTCAGACTCAGTAAGTGAAAAGAAACTGCTCCTCAGAGAAAATAGTAAAGACCACCATCTGAGAGGCATGGATAATCTGAGTTTAGATAGATAAGATAAAACTGATCTGTATCCAAGAAAAAAGTTTGTCCTTAAAAAAATGAATCAGCCAGCTAAAAGTTGCAGTGTATCCTCAGGTATTATGCTTAGTGAAATAAGTCAGATAGAGAAAGACAAACATCATGTGATTTCACTCATTTGTGGTACAAAAAGAATAAAAATAAACTTATAGCCTGTAAGACCAAATTAGTTTACCTGAAGGGGAAGGGAGGTAGGAAAATTGAGTAAAAGAGGTCAGTTGTACTATGAAGGATAGAATTGAACTTTTAGTGGTGATGTTTGTTTGTAAATATTGATTTATAATGATGCAAATATTGTTTGTAGTGTAATGTTTGCAAGTATTGATTTATCATGATGCACACTTGAAACTGAGATAATGCTATAATTCATTGTCACTTGAATAAATAAATCTTTAAAAGATGTAGTGGTTAATACCTGAAAAAAATAGAAAAATCAAAATTTGCATTTATTTGCCTATGTTTAGGAAAGATAAGTAGCTTTTTCAGAAAATTTTATTGATAATTTGCTTTCAAAAATTTTCATAATAGGTGAATAATTATTCACCTCATTAGCATATTAATTCTGAGAGCACTACATAGTGTGCTAAAAAATTTTAACCTAGAACCATATTCAGATATCCCTTAATCTCAACTCAGCCTTCTCACAACCTCCCCTTCACTTGTTTATATTCAGCCTCACCTTCTATCTTGTTTATATTCTTGCCACATCCTTCCTTCCTTGCAGGTATTCTGCCTGCTCCCTTACCTTTAACTTGCCCTCACTTCCCAGTAGTGGGAAAGACACCTCTAATGACACTGCCTTCACATTATGCCACCAATGACATAATTGCCCCCAGTGGTCTCTTTATCCTCATGTGAATAAACTTTCTCTGTTGACCATTTTAAAAACATATCCCTTTCTTGGGCATTTCAGCATCATAATCTCTTCTTTGTTCTTGTTTTGTCAATTCTTCTGTAGCTTTCCTGCACAACCACCCATGTTGGAACTACTGAAGAATCTGGATCACACTCTTGTTCTCATTCGGCTCTCCTTCAGCAGTCTCACATGTTGCTACAAGTGCTCAGCTCTCATGTTTGTGATTTCCTAGATATGTGTATATTACCCTGTCTCCTAACTTCACTCTAGAACCCAGCTTTCATCTACCTGTCGTACATTTTTGCATCTCAGTCTGTTAAAACCTGAGTTAATTCTCTCCTCCCGCCCCTGCTTTGATTCATTTCTTATGCTTTTTGTTCTCCATAGCAGAAACCCATTGGCGTTTTCTAAGTCATCAAAGCTAGATGCCTCAGAAGAAGATTGAATTTGTCTCCCAACTCCTCTCTCTTCTCTATCTTTTAACTTCCTATCAAATATTGTTGACTTTTCCTGTAGAGTCTTAGGAATTCTTCTTTTTTCCTACTGTTTTCAAGCATAATTTCAGTGAGGTAAAATATAGGTCAGGTTTGAAGTTTATTTCTTAAATGGGGAAATTGTGGGGAAAGTAAGCAAAGTGAGCATTTGAGCATTGATAAAGTCCTGTTCTTCATTTGTGTCAAAAGAGGTTATAGAACAATGAAGGAAACATTGATAAAAAATTATAGATAAGTTATTTTCAGAAAAATACAGTTTTTTGAGCTAATATTTTTAAGGACAGATAAGGCTTACAAATATTTGTCAGGAACCTGAACATGAAATGAGAATTTTTGGTTGGAGGTGTGGAGATTTACTTTATTTTATTTTATTTTTTTTAATTTTTTTTAAAGATTATTTATGCAAGCACTAGGTACAGTCAGAAGTGCGGGAGGGTGAGAGAATTCACCAGAGCCAGAGCCGGGAGCAGAGCAGGCAGAAGGACCGAAGTACACTGCTGAGGGGAGCAGTGGGCAGCAGAGGAGAGGTCTGCGCGCCCTGCAGGACCCTCCTCCGGTGGCTGAGGAGCAGCCGGGGATCGAACCGGCTCTGCAGAGGCTGCGGGCAGCTTTGCAACCCAGCGTTCAACCGCTGCGCCACCGGGGAGGCCCTGGAGATTTATTTTAAAGACTGTCTAGCATAGCAGGATTTCTTGGGTATGCTTGACAAATTATGGTCTATGAGAAAATATTTGAATTAATTTTTTAGGCAGGTTTGGCTCTTGGAACTTTATTTTTTTTTGTTGAGGTGATGTTCATTTACAACATGGTGTATGTTTTAGCGGACTAAGTTCATATCTCTTTAGGTGTATGTTATCACACCACTCCCACAATTAAAGCACCCCTAGTCCTTTAAGCCTTGGGGTCCCTTCCCCCTCTTTGATCCCACTCCTATCCTCCTCCCTCTCTCTCTAGTAGCCTCAATTCTGTGGTCATATTGCTAGGGGGGTTGCTTTTGTTACTTGTTTTTTAGTTTTGTCAGCTCCTTTTTTTGTCGTCTTTTTTTTTTTTTTTTTCTGTATTCCACCTATGAGTAAAATCATCTCATATTTGTCTTTCTCCTTCTGATATATTTCACTTAGCATAATCCCCTGGAAAGGAGAAATTTAGAGCAAAAGACTATAGTGCAGTAGTATCTAAGAAATTAAAAGAGTTGAATTTTCCAGGGAAAGAGAGTAAACTAAAGTTAATCTGTTTCTTTCCTAGGCTGCTAGTTCAATTGATGCTGAAGATGGGTTGAGGTTCATGCAGGAGATGATTGAATTGTCAAGTCAGCAACAAAAAGAACAGCAGCTGCCTCCACGAGCTGTACAGATTGTTTCCCACCCATTTTTTGGCAGGGTAGTATTGACTGCTGGACCAGCTCAATTTGGGCTGGATCTGTCAAAACACAAAGAGGTGTGTATACTTATAATATTTTTGTTGAAATTGAATTTAAAATATAGTTTAAGTATCGTCTGATTTCTTAGTCTCTTTTCTAATTGAGTAGTGTCTGAGAAAATTATGTAACCTGATCTTGATATGTAAAATGGAAAGTATTATCTGTATTATTTTGCCTCGTCTTATAAAGATTAGTAATAATGTAAAAATACTTTATAAACTGCAAAGCACAGTAAAAATATCTTTTCATATAAACTTTGGTTTTTTTTGCAAAACACAACTGATTGGGTGCTATAATGTATGCTTACCATATGTTGGATATGTTATTAGGAAAAAAAAATGGGGTCTATGTAAACTCTAGATATTAAATTTTATTAACGAGATAATGATGTGAGAAAAATAAAAGCATATTTAAGCTACTTTTTTCCTAACAGACAAGAGGATTTGTTGCAAGCAGTAAACCATACAATGGTTGTTCAGAGCTTACTAACCCTGAGGCGGTCATGGGGAAAATTGCTTTGATACAAAGAGGACAGTGCATGTTTGCAGAAAAGGCAAGAAACATCCAGAATGCTGGAGCCATTGGTGGCATTGTTATTGGTAGGTAATCCTCTGTATCACCACGTTGACTAGGAGGAGATAATCTTTAGGATCTTCTGTTTTCCAAAATTTCATCAAAGAGCTTGTCATACTTTTTTTACTTCACTAGACAGCATAATGGATAGCTAATCTTATGACTCTTAATCATTTCTGTGTATCTCATGTTCAGATATGTACATCTATATATAAAAAGTTATGTGCAGTCAGGTGTGAAAAGTGGGGTAGAGCTGAGTGATAAAAACACCTATATACCCTGGACAAGAAATGTGCACAAGAGATCCAAAAGTTACACCCTCCCACCTCCTAGGCAAGCCACTGAAAATAGTCTTTTTTTCCACAGAGGTGAGGCTTTGGAGTCAGACACGTGGCATGCAATTTCTTTCTCTGCCCCCAAATCACTGTGTGACCTTGGCCCAGGTTTAGTTTATCTGTTTATTTTGTAGAGTTGTTTTTTTTTAAAAGATTTATTTATTTATTTATACAAGCACTGGGTACAGTCAGAAGTGCGGGAGGGTGAGAGAATTTATCAAACCCAGAGCAGGGAACAGAACAGGCAGATGGACCAAAATACACTGCTGAGCAGCGGGCGCTGTAGGAGAGGTCTGCGCGCCATGTGGGACCCTCGCCGGTGGCCTGGGATCGAACCAACGTTGCAGAGGTTGTGGGCAGCTTCGCAGCCCAGCGCTCAACCGCTGCGCCACCAGGGGAGGCCCTTTGTAGAATATTTTTTGAGCTCCAGTGAAAACAGCAGTATCTAGTCGTTAACAAACTTTTTATCCCCTCATGTCTTTAAACCCCTAAATTTACAAATTGCCGACTTCAAATCATTTATTCATGTATTTCAGCCAGTGGGTTTTGATTTTTTAAATTAGCATAGAAAATCACTTATATCCTGATAAATGAGTCATGACTATCAGGGGAAATATAAATTTTTCTGTGCTTTTAAGTAAACAGGAGTCTAAATTCAGGAAGAATGGAAGACCTGAGGTCACACTCTAATTGTGAAGTTTTTCTGTATAATTTCTCTCATGGGAGAAGACATTTTGGATTTTTTTTCCTAATTGAGATACATTTCCATTTGTACAGGATAAATAAAAACAGTACCTTAAAAATAAGATATCAGTGGCCTCCCCGGTGGTGCAGCGGTTGAGCGCTGGGTTGCAAAGCTGCCCGCAGCCTCTGCAGCAGCCAGTTTGATTCCCCGGCTGCTCCCCGGCTGCTCCCCGGCCACCTAAGGAGGGTCCCACATGGCGCGCAGACCTCTCCTGCCGCCCGCTGCTCCCCTCAGCAGTGTACCTCGGTCCTTCTGCCTGCTCTGCTCCCGCTCTGGCTCTGGTGAATTCTCTCACCCTCCCGCGCTTCTGACTGTACCCAGTGCTTGTATAAATAAATAAAAATAAATCTTTAAATAAAAAAAAGATATCAGGATATATTTCAGTGAAAAACTATTATTCTTTTACCTATCCCATATGGACCCTCTAGTATTGATTTAATGAAGGTGTAACTTTCATTGTTAAGTAAGTTTTAGGAGAAATTCTGTTGACACACTTAAGTCAGTGATTGGCAAACTATATTCTGCAGGCCAAATCCAGCTCACTTCCTGTTTACGTAAATAAAAATTATTTTTTTTTTAAAGATTTATTTATTTATACAAGCACTGGATACAGTCAGAAGCGCAGGAGGGTGAGAGAATTCACCAGAGTCAGAGTGGAGAGCAGAGCAGGTAGACTGATGAAGTACACTGCTGAGGGGAGCAGCGGACGGCAGGAGAGGTCTGCGCACCATGTGGGACTCTCACCCGGTGGCCAGGGATAGAGCCAGCTCTGCAGAGCCTGCGGGCAGCTTGGCAACCCAGTGCTCAACTGTTGCGCCACTGGGGAGGCCCTGTAAATAAAAATTATTTTGGGATATAGCCATGCCAATTTGTTTACTTATCGTCTGTGACTGCCTTCGAGTGACAGTGATGGAGTTGAGTAGTTGCAATAGAGAACTGCAAAGCCTAAAATATTCACTCTTTTTACAATTACAGAAAAAGTTTGCTGCTGCATGACTTAAGCCTCCTCAGAGATATTTTTATTAAATAATTTAGTAGCTTACCGTCACTATTATTTTGGACATTTCCTAGTATGACCTTAAAAATATAAAGATAACATATTTAAAAAAATCTGGAGCTTGAGAAGTATTTTATATTTTCTCGTTTTTGGTGAAGTGTAATTCTTACGGTATATACTACACTAGGCATGTCAATTTAGATATTTTCTTTAGTATTGTCAGTTACATAATTTGCTGGACTCAATGGGGGATATAAAAGGCTATACCCCTTATTTTTAGAAAATTTAGTTTTTAGAGGGGAACTGTCTTGTGTTGTAACTTCTAAGTTATTTTGTTTCTGGTAAAGCATTATGTTTGTTTTTTGTTGGTTTTAATTATATATAAATGGCAAGTTAGAACTTAGTTGTTTTTATTGCAAGTATTAGAGGTACAGATTGTTTGAGAATTCATTCAGCTGTGAGAGCTGATAACTCATTAAGCTGTTTTAAGAAGGGGATTTTGTTTGCTAGATGGAAATGGATTATTTTCATTGAACACAAAAGGAAGAAATAGAACTATGTGCTCTAAGGAAGTATAAGTAGGAACTAAAACGCATTAGGAATCATGATAGCTAGCGTTATCCATCTTTGTCTGTTTCTAGGTCCTCCTATACTTTTTACTACATCTGTTTACTCTTCCATTCTCTAGGTTCTCAACAGTCTGTTCCCTCTTTGCACCATCAGTTCCAAAATGGTTGTTCTAAAATTGCAACCTCATTTGAGTCTGTGTCACTTAACTGGCCCATTCCCCACTGCTATCCAAAACAGTCTCTGTGCCAATTCCTAGTCCCCCCAGGGAGAGCAAGGGTCAGGTAGCATCCTTTGCCTAATCTGTTATTGCTGAGGGGTGGCTCTTATATTTGCTACTATCAGATCAAGCTCTTTGAGAATGATTAGGCAGCTTCTGCAGAGAGACTGGCCTGTGAGAGTAGGAGTTAGTATGAATGGTATTTATCATTCCTACTACTATTATTTGACCAGTATAAAATAACATGTTTCATTCAACTTAGGAAAACTCCCTATAGCCATAATCATCTTTTTATATGTGAAAAAGAACGGTCAGTATGTAGTTTGTTGAAATAATAAAAGAGAAAATCTTCAATAATACTGAAATGTTATATATAGTTCTCACTATAATCCATAGCTGACATTTCCATTTGTAAAGCCTTCTTCATAAGCATATGAAATTTTTAGTGATTAGAGAATTTTGTGTTTCCTTATTTTTATGTAATACTCTGTTTTTCCCTGTTCCATCAAGTAATTTGTTACAATTTACTTGTTCACAATTATAAATAGTAAACTTGTTTGGAGATATAGATCAGTTTGTTTCTTTTATATTTTTTCCTCAGGATAAATTTCCAGAATTAGTGGATCCAAAAAGTATATTTGCTTTTATTATTCTTGATGCATAAAATTAATGCTGCCAACAGATGAAAACAGACTTGTGGATGCCTTTTTAATGGACAATTGTTTTTATGTTTTCTGTATTTTTATTTTTATTTTTTTTGGCTAGATGACAATGAGGGGAGCAGCAGTGACACTGCTCCTCTGTTCCAGATGGCAGGTGATGGGAAGGACACAGATGACATCAAGATTCCCATGCTCTTCTTATTCAGTAAAGAAGGAAGTATCATACTAGATGCCATCCGAGAGTATGAAGAGGTAGAAGTGCTCCTTTCTGATAAAGCAAAAGATCGAGGTAAGGGTAAAAAACATTTGTTTTTCGTGTAGCTTGGCATTGATTTTACTAGTTTGATCACAGAAGTTAGTTACAAAAAATGATTTCTGATCTGCTGGTAAAGTTTAAAAAGATGGTTTCAAAATACATTCTTTTGGAATTAAGTGTTGTGGAACACTTATTTTGCTTTGTTTGCTGAACTAGGATATTTTTACATCAGGTAGATTGTGCTCCTGCTCATGGTAGCAGTCTTTCTTCCTCACTGGAGACCTGTAGAGATAGCTGTTCTCCTCCCATCCCACCTAAACGGGTAAAGTTGTATACTTTATACAGGGTTGTTGAGTTCCCTAGGATGTTTGACAGGTGTAGGAAATTGATTCAAGTCAGTAGAACTTGCAAGTGGAACAGGAAAAAGCAAAAGTAGCAGTCACCTCATGCTAGCCCAATCTGTGTTTGGTCTTTTCTTCTTATATTGCTTTTTTCTCCTTTGAGATCTTTTCATGTCAACTATTTAAGAGCAGTGGAGTGAATGAATAGGTTGTGTGTATGTAAGGATATATAGATGGAAACAGTACAAAGATTTTCTAATCTTAAATTCTCCTATGTACCTGATTTTTTACGAGCCCTTTTTCTTAACTATTATCTTCTTTCCTATATGTGTGCATATAGACACATCAGACATAGGCAAATTATTATTCCATATGACTCTTTAACGCCTTTGCTTTTTCCCCCCTATTTTGTGCTACCATTGGAATTTCAGCAGCAATATTAAAAGGTAAAATGATTCCAAGCTACATTATTAATAGTAGTAAGTATCTTGCATTAATAAACTTTAAATTATATGTATGTGTGTATATATACATACATACACACATGTACACACATGCATATATATGTATATATATAAAAATTTTGTGTCAGTGGATACCGTAATAAACTCTGATTTAAACATTAATGTAGTTAGATTATTTTCAGGTCTAGTCAGCTGTCCTGTAATATAACTATTCTTTACTGATCCTAGGTAACAAATCCTATGAAAATATCCCACTTAACAGGTGAATTCACTAGTCTATGTTGATGTAAGAGTCACTCTAACAAAGATTTTTTTTAGAATGTGTTACTTTCAGTCACTTTTTATTTGAAAACCTTGTAAAATGTATAAAATACTGACTTGTTTTTAAAAGTTGTATGTGTATTGGGGTGCATGGGGTTAGGACTATGAGGTTATGGTAAAACATTGCTTCCCATACCAGAGAAAGAATATAAGTAAAGATAAATTTTACAGAGTAAATGCAGTGCTTTGCACAGTAGTCCCTTGCAGTAAAAGGGTTTTGTTCAAATTATATTTTTTTTTTAAAAAGATTTATTTATTTATTTATTTATTTATTTATTTATTTATTTATTTATTTATTTATTTATACAAGCACTGGGTATAGTCAGAAGCGTGGGAGGGTGAGAGAATTCACCAGAGCCAGAGCGGGGAGCAGAACAGGCAGAAGGACCGAAGTACACTGCTGAGGGGAGCAGCGAGCACGGCAGGAAAGGTCTGCGCGCCATGTGGGACCCTCGCCGGTGGCCGGGGATTGAACCGGCACTGCAGAGGCTGCAGGCAGCTTTGCAGCCCAGCACTCAACCACTGCGCCACCAGGAGAGGCCCTCAAATTATATTTTTAAAAAGGTTTTCGTAGTCTATAAATTTATTGAATAGTGATTCTGTTATGTGGTGATCCTTTTGACAAAAAATCTTAAATCCCACCCCCCTTTTTGTATAGCTCTTTCAAGAACTATACAACTATATTAAATTAATCAGCACCAAATTACAATATAATTATTGTTATTTATCCAAAGGATAAAAGTTAATGGTAGTTTCAGTAAATCAATTACTTTATTCACTTGGGAAATTATCCCGAGAAGTTAGTATCTGTGGCAGTTATTAACTTCTTTATATGTCCTGTGCCATTCCTGTATGAGCCAGTGTTTCTCTTCTGCAGGATTAAGTTGATAACACCTGTTAAAAGTATATTTTACAACTCTGGAATATTGAATCAGACTCTCAAGGCAGATTTCAGAATCTGAAATCTTAAACAGGCTCTTAGGTAACAGCGCTCAACTGCACTTTGAGAAAAACTGAACGCAGCCAGTAAGGCACCCCCTTTTTGTCTCTCAGCTGTGTGTGGGTCCATGTTGTACTAGCAAGGCAGAATTATAGAAGTATAACAAATAGTGGCATCCTTAAAACCTGAACAATAAAATTTCCTTCACGTTATCCTTTCTAATCTAAATATCTCATCCCACAAATAACTTTTTTCTCTTATAAAGTCAGTTTTTATTTATTCTTCCAAAATATTAATACAGAAAATAATTCCTCCAAATAAGCCCCCAGTTCCACTTCAACCTTGCTCTGTTAAGTCCCAGCCATTAATTTCTAAATAATGGAAATAGCCCTATCTATTAGCAAAAATGTTCAGATATTTTATTACACTATCTTCTTCAGAAGTAAACCATTAGTAGTTTATCAAGCAGAGATAAACCAGTCATATTTCTGAAAGTTATATTCTCCACAGTCTGTTATTGATTAGAAGTTTTAATGTCATGTCTCTATTCTGTCTCATCTTTCTAAAATTTTAAGTGTTTGTATACTTAATACTAATCCAGCCTGTGTCACAAACAAAAAGCACTGTGTTGTTACCTTTAAACCCAAATTGAAGCAGTTTACAATTTAGAATCATTTTTCTTTTCTAAATAGTATTTCTCAGGGAAAAACAACAGCATTTTAAGGTTTCAATAGATTGTCATGCTTGCTGTTTTCAGTGTAGATATATAGAGCATTACGTCCTGTTGGCCAGTGTATTAAGGCCACTCCTATAATTGTGTCTTTCTGGTAAAGAGGAAGATGGAGAAAATACGGGAAAGAAAAGTACCCATGGTTTGATCTGCTCAAGATTATGGTCTGGTGGGCCTCCCCGGTGGTGCAGCAGTTGAGGGCTGGGTTGCTAAGTTGCCCGCAGCCTCTGCAGCGCCGGTTTGATCCCCAGCTGCTCCCCAGCCACCGGAGGAGGGTCCCGCATGGCGCGCAGACCTCTCCTGCCGCCCGCTGCTCCCCTCAGCAGTGCATTTCGGTCCTTCTGCCTGCTCTGCTCCCTGCTCTGTCTCTGGTGAATTCTCTCACCCTCCTGTGCTTCTGACTGTACCCAGTGCTTGTATAAATAAATAAATAAATCTTTTAAAAAAAAAAAAAAAAGATTATGGTCTGGTAATAGTATTTTCCCTAACACTGAACTTGATAGTATGAATCTATTCCCAAAGTTGAACTGTAGAACTTAGATTGCTATAGGAAAGATTTAATTCTGAGGAAGAAAATGTATTACAAATGCAGATGGCTTCTTTGCCTGGCAAGGAGTATCTAAAATGTTCCTTTTACCACAACTGATGCTTACCTACCCTCTCTTCTCCAACCATGGTGTGTTTGTTTCTCATTCATTTTTGCAATTGTGCATTTCTTTCCTTTCTGGAAATGCCTTACCAAACTCTTTTTCCATGATCCTTTTCCTCTGAGAACTTTCATACTTCCTAAATAAGCAGTTTAAGTGCCACCTTCTTGGTGAAATGCTCTTTTTCTCCTCTCATAGGCAAAATTGAAGGGTTTCTTTCAACATAGTTCTGTGATACTTATATTCCGTGATACTTGTTTACCTCCCCATCTCTGCTTTTAGTAAATGCTGGATGTGAATGAATGATTATAGAACATCCAATCTTAGTTTTTACCGAGGTTCCCATCTCCTTTTATTTTATTACTGGAACTTAATTTTCTTTTCCTTATATCTTGAAATTTTTTCTTATTTTGGTTCCTGTGTTTCTGATACACCGCTCCTGAATTTAATGATGTAATTGTGCTCTTGGGACTGTAATACTTATAATGGTGATAATAAGCACCTTAGAATAAAGATTTGTCATAGTGTGGCAGGCACTAATTCCTTTCTTCCTTTTTTTACTTCTCCAACTGCCATTTTTACTTAGTTGCTTCTTCTCTTTTATACATATATCAAATATTTTTACATATTTGGATGTGTCTCTTTTCTGTTTCATTCATCTATTTGTTTCTGTGCCAATAATGAACTTTGCTCTTTTGAATAAATTTTAAATCTGACAAGACAATTCTCAGTATACATTCTTCTGCTGCTAACTTCAAAATAACTGGATTTGGTCCCAAAGGAAAACAAAACAAATAGAAATGCTGTACCTACTTTAAATAGAAATAGGAAAAGTTTTGTTAAATATTTAGGACTTTCCATCCAGGAATACTCACTTTCCTATAAATTTAATTAGAACTTGTTAAGATTTTATGGTTTTAAGAAATATGAGTCTTGTTCATTTTATAACAAATTCATAATAAATTCTGTGTTTTGTAGCTTTTATTTATATTATCAAAAGGATACTTAATTTTATTTCTTGCTAGTTATTGCTATGACAGAAGAAATTATTTATTGGTAGTTGCCTGTTTCTCTTATTTTTAGTCTCCTTATCAAATTCTTCTATTAGTATTTTTAAAAATTAAAGAGTTGCTTTGAGAGGGGAGATATTCTTTATTGTGGGAAAAAAATGAACAAGGATGTAAAATAACAGTAGTTCAATAAAAAATATATTTTAAAAAAAAAAACAGTGCCTTGAGGGCCTCCCCGGTGGTGCAGCAGGTTGAGCGCAGCGCTGTGAAGCTGTCCGCAGCCTCTGCAGCACCGGTTCGATTCCCGGCTAGCCAGGGAGATTCCCACATGGTGTGGCAGACCTCTTCTGTCTCACCTGCTGCTCCCCTCAGCAGTGTCTTCGGTCCATCTGCCTGTTCTGCTCCCGCTTTGTCTCTGGTGAATTCTGTCACCCTCCCGTGCCTCTGGCCTGTACCCCAGTTCTTGTATAAGTAAATAAATAGAGAAAAAAAAAAAGAGTTGCTTTGAATTTAAATGCATAACACAATCTGCAAATATGGGTAGTTTCAGCTTTCCTTTTCCCATATTTATACTTTGTTTTCTTACCCTGTTGCACTGGTTAAGTTTCCAAAATAATAATATATAATAAGTAACCTTAGGGTGATTTTTTACCAAAAATAGAATCTTTATTACTAGATGAAACAACCCCTCTACCTTTTTCTATGCTTCTAAATTCTAGATTAATAAGAATAATTTGAATAATTGATTAATAGCATTCTAGATTAATGCAGTCTAAAAGCAGCTTGAAGACTTTTCCTTTTGTTCTCCCTTTTACTTGGGGTAGCCCAATGTAAATGAGCTCTAAGCGGCCAGTTTCTTCTTTCTCTTCCTGGGGACCACCATAGTTTCCCTAATTATAAAATTAAGACGTACCTTTTCCACAACTCAGAAGAGAGGATGTGTGGAGACTCAATACTTATCTTTTAAATCTCAGTTCAAATGTCAGTTTCTGAAGGAAACCCTCAAATCTCCTTCATCCTTCCTAACGTGGGTAAGCTTTCCTAACACCATAATGCATCACAGCTAGGGTTTCCCACTTATTTTCTGTGGTTGTTGGTAAATGTTGTTTTCCCCAGTGAGACTGTCAGCTGACCTTGTTTTATTCCAAGCACCATGCCCAGGGCTCACCACATAGCAGGCTTGCAGAGATTTGCTAACTGAACTCTCATGGAGGCAGAGGTCCAGGAGAACCAGCATATGGGCATTGGTGCTGTTTAAGCACTCTCTTGTAGGAATCTAAGTCAGATGCTTCTGGTGGTTTCATATATATTCATTATAAGAAATTTAACCTATTCTTCAACTTTCTAGTGGATTTTAGAATGACTGCATATCTTGCAATTCATAGACCTATAATAATGAAATAGAAGTCTTGTAAAAATAGTAAATACCTTTATGAAAACATTTAATCACATGCATATCCTTGAGTCATACAAAATTTTGAATTATCTCCATCTTTGTGTTCTAAGGAAGAATTTCACTTTTCAAAAGAACATTACCTTAAAATACAGCCACTGGCATGTGTTGATTAAAATGTATTTAGTATGTTCTAATGTGCAGGCTTTCCTGAATTAAGATATTTAATCAATTTTAGATATATATATATAATGCAAATTTCTGTGCATTTTAATAGTTTTATTGTCTAGTGTATTTTTTGGCATATACTAATACCCATTCAAGGCAGTCATCTCAGTTATTCGAGTCATCCTTTTCAGTTTAGAGGAGTATTTATTATCTAATACTGCCACATTTTGCAAAGTGAATGTACAGAAAAATGCAGATTTTTCTGTACTTTATTGCTTTATTATAAAGCAGACTTTTATTCCTCTTTGTCAATGTTTACTGTTTTGCACTAACTTGATTCTCTAACTCTTGCAAAAACCAGTATACATTTAAAATGTGATAGTACACTTTTTTGTTGGGGAAAGAGGAATGAAGTTTGTGTGTTTCTCTATACAGATCCTGAATTGGAAAGTGAAGAACAATCAGCCTCTGAAAATGATTCCCAGAATCAGAGTGCTGAACAGATTACCCCAAGTTCTCAGGAGGTTGATTTGGTTGATTTGGTTGATCAAGCTGATCAGGAGTCTCCTGAGGAAAGTTCCCTAAACTCTCATCCAGAATCATCATCCCCAACAGAAACAGACAATGCTGCAAGTGGTCTTCCTTCCGAACAGAATTCTAATCCCACAGAAAACCCTGAGACTACAGATCTTGATGGTGAATGTACAGATTTAGATAACCAACTTCAAGAACAATCGGATACCGAGGAGGATTCCAATCCTAATGTTAGCTGGGGTAAAAAAGTCCAGCCTATAGACTCCATATTAGCGGACTGGAATGAAGATATAGAAGCTTTTGAAATGATGGATAAGGATGAACTATGACTTACTAGAGAATCTGCTGGTAGGTATTTAAAAAGAAAGGTAAACTGTGGTTAATAGACACCCTAATGCTAAGCAGGCTCTCTAATGGGAGGCTTTAAGTATGGTGAGGAGTAACCACGTTCTGACTGGGATAGTAATCAGAGATCCAGAACTTGCTGCATTAGAATTAACATTATTTAAAACTGTCCTATCCAAAATGGAAGGTCACAATTCCCCCCTCAAATGACAGCATTGCACCACCCTGCAGCACCTCAGACCAGGAAAAGATTAAACTGGGCATTCCTAGGAACCAAATTTGTGCAGTCTCTGGATAGATGAGAAACAAATTCAGTGATTACTGAGGTGAGGAAGAGGAATTTGTATAGCGTTCTAATTAAAGGAAGCTGGGTTTTCATGTGGGGGCATTCTGGTGATGCTGCCTTCACAGAAGTACTTGAAGTGACAAGTGTTATGAAGCAAATGCATTCATGGTGGAAACAGTCTTTGCTCATCTTGCTTCATGGTGTAACAAATGATCATGATGACTTGACCCTCTTACCAGTGTCCTTTTCACTTAAACCAAAGGTGAAGTCATTGTACTTTCTCAGTGAGTTCTCTGCCTAAAGACTAATCATTGGAATCAGGTAAAAAGGTCATATAATTTATTGTGGAAATTGGTCACTGAATACTTTTCAGAAATGAGACAAAGAAACTAATGTTGCAATACAAACTTCCCATTGGCCCTTCCTTAGGGAAGCTGTGACTACTCTGAAATGGAACTTAACGTTGTATCCTTGTAGGGTAAATTATAAATTTTTTCCAGTTCTTTTCTCTTAGAGGTGATTATCTCTAGCCATCAGCCTTACTCCATCCCATGTTTAGTGTGCAGTTTGAGCCACAAGGCCTGTACCACGAATAGCTGAATACATTTTGTTCCATTTTTCTATCTTAAGAGCTATGATAAAACTGTGGTGGTGATCTAACAATCCTGGATGACTACTATTTTTTTCCTCCTTTGAAAATATGATTTTTAAAATTGCACCTGAAGAGTCTGCCACATTTTTTGTTGAATCATGGTTTTTTAGGTTTGCTTGGAAAAAAAAAAACACAAACTCTCATATGGACCTGAAATTTAGTCGGTGGTAACCCAGGTAAAGAATTTACACAGTAACAACTAATAAATAGCCATATAACTTAATGATGAAAATTTTCCCTTTTTATGTGGCTGTCTGATGGTGCCACAAAAAAGTTTGAAAAACTTTGTTGATATCTGTACACAGCCCTGTAGTTGAAATTATGCCTCTGTACTGATTTTATTTATTTTTTAAACTTAACTGAATCAGTTCTAAAGGAATATTTGTGAGACTTAATTTCCTTTCTCTTTACCATCACATTATATAAAAACCTCCTAAAACACAGTTTTGAGGTACTGATGAATTTAAACTGTATATGGAATTATTAAAAGAACAGCATTGCTGTGTTGTAGTTATGTATATTCATGTACAGTATGTCTTAGATCCCAGGTAAACATATTCTTTTGTATAAGGGGATAAATAGCTGCTTTCAAAAATTCCAGCTAAACTTAATTGAATCAGTGAGTAATAAGCCTAATAGATAATTCATTTTGGGAGGGGGGAGGGAAAGGTTAGTAAACAAGATCTTTATTGGCCCTTAATTAAACCTGACACAAAAATAGATATTTTTATTCTCTCTGCATGTGAAATTTGGTGTAAGAAGATAGAATTATAATAATACAGTATATGGAAGGATAGACATAGTGCTTTGTTCATCTTAATTACAAAGCTGCCAAAATAGCTGAAGCTTAATTACTTGACTTGCCTTGATTTATAGGACTGGGGCATGGAGAAAAGGAGCAGGTGTTCCTTTAAGACTTTGATTACAGAAGCCTTATATACATTGATTTGATTTTGTATTTGTAGCTCACAGCCATTGTTGTCTGTATCTAACTTTTCTAAGTTATCAAAACAACAATTTTTTTTTTCTGGCAAAGAGATCTTGTAGCATACAAGGAAAAGCCAGCTTACTGCCACTCTCCCTGTCTTTGACCATTAGGGGGAGTTGTTGCCATTCATTGAGGTCTAGCAGTAAATCGTTCACTTGTTTAGAGAAGTGAATCTTAAAAAAAAAAGAAAAAAAATTAACGAACTCTACTTAACACCCAGAAGGAATTATACTTGATTTTTCTCCAGTTAACAAAAGAAGGTGGAATGTTCAGCTTCAAAACTCTGACTTGTAATTAACTGCATTCTTATTCAATATACTGCCATGAAGTTGTTTTTCAGTTCATTAAAAAAATTTTAACGGCATTAGGGTTTTTTTTTCCCATATTTTGTTTTAAAATACTTTTATAGACATTTTATTTACTTCCTAATGATTCAGGGGATTCTGTGAGACCCTGAATTTTAGAAACATCTGGTCTACCTCAGTTAAATGTTGCCTGCATAGAAATAGAGTTGAAGTGATCACCACAGCCATAAAATTGTTTGACAAAGGATTTATACAATGTTTACAAACCTGGAATCAAGTAAGGATTTTATCGAAAGTTAAAAGTTAGATATCAGAACAAGTATTTAATTCAGGTATTTTCAAGTTTAAAAAAATTGTTTACCTACTAAAAATAGCTATAGTTTTTTTCTGCTTATCAAAGTCCATTGAAACCACATACCCTAATTTACAATACTTTTCCCATAAAGTTTTAAGAAGGAATTGTAATTTACTACACATGTTTGGGATGGGATATTTTCTTGGAGAGGGTTTTTTTTTTTTTTTCCCCCAACCTATTGACTTCCAACAAGAATATAATTGTTTCAGAACAAATTTTTTGGCATTATACTTTTTCTTTTTTCTTCACAGTGTTAGAGTAAAATGAAAAATTTGCACTCTCTGATTTTAACTTGTCTAATTACGGTTGAGAATTTTTTTTTTATTTAAATTATCACAGCCCTTTTGATAGTAAAACCAGCATTTGTTCTCTAACCAGACCCCATGCCAAATTCATCATAAACAAAGCTCAGCATAAGTAATTCAAATAGTGCTTATAATTTTAGGGGGGAGTGGGAATTTAGTAAATATTCCATCTGGTCGTTTTATGCACAAGGCTTCAGTCAGAACATAGAAAAAAAACATTCTGTGAATGAAATATTGTATGTTCAGATTTTATAAAAGACATTTTTAAAAGCCCAATTTACAGCCGTATATTTTCTTATGATGTAATTTATGAAAAAGATGTCTGTACTAACAGGTGCTGTAACACTACTGTTGTTGGATTTTATTGTTTGGTGATAAATGTATGCAATATTTCTAAGGGAAACTATGTACTGTGATGTAAAAGTGTGGGCAAATGTATATAATCCTTGTATATAATTGTGTATTTGATTACAATTACTGATTGTAAAGATTTAATAAAATATGTAAATATTCTGGTCTAGTCTTCATTTGAATTTTTTTAGCATCATGTGTACCTTAATACTTTGATACATATCTTGAAATTTTTTTTTATCACTCTAGCTTCCCTTTAATTTCATTCTAAACTAAGGGAGTATGGGCCTTGCTGGTTGTACAGGGCTTAAGTCTCAGTACTGTGGAGCTATCAGCAGCCACTGCAGCATGAGACTGATCCATGGCCATAGAGGTGACCCACATGGTGCAGCAGACCTTCTGTCTCACCTGCTGCTCCCCTCAGCAGTGTATTTCAGTAAATATGCCTGTTCTGCTCCGCACTCTGTCTCTGATGAATCCTCTCACCCCCTGCACCCCTGGCCTACACCCCGGTTCTTGTATGCATAAATAAATAAAATAAATCTTAAAAAAACAAGGAGGCCCTCCCCTGGTGGCGCAGGGGTTGAGCGCTGGGCTGCGAGGCTGCCCGCAGCCTCTGCAGCGCTGGTTCATTCCCCGGCCAGGCGAGGGTCCCACACACACACACAAAAAAGTGAATTTGGGGACATCTTAGGGTATAAATACACAAACATACATTGAACAGTTCCAACTCAAGTAGTACCAAGGAGCCTCAGAATTGGCTTAGAGTAATGTGTTTTTTTTAATTGGGGTAACATTGGTTTACCACATTGTGTTTTACAACTCCCCCTTCTGGTCTCATTACCACACCACACTTACTATCCAATGTCCATAGTCCACCCCATAGTCCATTCTGTTCCCAGCCCACTTTGTTCTCACTCCTCCCCTTCCCTCTGGTAGCCTCACTTCTACAGTCAGCTTTCTAGGGTTCTTAGTTTGGCTTTTTTCTGACCCTTTGGTTTCTCTATATTCCACATGTAAGTGACACCATCCAGTATTTGTCTTTCTCCTGACTTCGTTTGGTATAATCCCCTCTAGTCCCATCCATGTTGTTGGAAATGGCAAGAGTTATTCTTTTTTTAAAAAAAAGATTTATTTATGCAAATAAGAGCTGGGGCACAGGCCAGAGGTGCGGGGGTGGGGTGGAGCAAGAGGACCCACCAGAAACAGAGTGGGGAACAGAACAGGCAGATTGACCAAAGTACACTGCTGAGGGGAGCAGTGGGCGAGTCAGGAGAGGTCTGCTGCGCCATATGGGCAGCTTCCTGGCCAGGGATTGAACTCATACTGTAGAGGCTGCAGATGGCTTCATAGGTTGTGTCTTAACACACACACCGCCCCCCCCTTCCCCCGCACCACCAGCAAAGCCCAAGGGTTTATCTTTTTAAACAGCTGAGTAGTATCTTTGTATATATACCACATCTTCCTGATCCACACATTTATTTGGGGGCACTTAAGATGCATTATAGCTTGACTATTGTAAGTAGTGCTACTGTGAACCTAGGATGAGTATTTCCCTTCAAATTAGTGTTTTGTATTCTTTGTGCAGATACCTAGGAGTGGAATTGCTAGGTGATGTTAGATCCATTTTTAATTTGTGAAATCTCACACTTCCAAACAGGGGCTAGACACCTCTGTATTCCCACTGACAGTGGAGGGGCTCCTTTTCCTCCACATCTTTGATAACACTTGTTTTTTCTGGCCCTTTTGATAGGGACCATTTTCACAAGTGTCCTTATTTATGATTTGCATTTCCCCAACCATAAGTGAAATGAGCATTTTTTCATATATCTGTTAGCCATCTGTATGTATTTGGAGAAATGCCTATTTAGCGCTTGTGTCCATTTTTTGATTTGGTTGTTTTCTTAACTTTGTTAAGTGAGTTCTTTGTAGATATTAGATACCAGTCCCTTGTTGGATGCTGGTGTGTGAAAATTTTCTGCCATTCAGTAAGGTGTCTTTTTGTTGTGGCTTTCTTTGGCTGTGTAGAAACTTTTCATGGGTTTATTTCTGGACCCTTAATTCTATTCCATTGTTCTATGTGTCTGCTTTTGTTCCAGTGCCAAACAGTTTTTATTACTACAGCTTTGTTGTATAGTTTGAAGTCTGGGAGTGTGTTAACCACCAGCTTTCCTCCTTTTTGTCAGGATTGCTTTTTCTGTTCAGGGTCTTTTGTAGTTTTATGAATTTCAGTAATGTTCTATTTCTTTGAAGAATTTCATTGAGACTTTGATAAGGATTGTATTGAATCTGTATATTGGTAAGATGGCCATTTTCATGTTATTTCTTGTAACCCATGAGCAGGAAATACCCTTCCATTTCTTTCTAGCTTCTATTTTAATAATGTCACAGGTTTTTTTTTTAATTATTTTTTTAAGATTTATTTTATTTATGGGTACAAGAGCTGGGGTGTAGGCCAGAGGTGTGGGGTGGGGGTGTGTGTGAAAGGATTCACCAGAGAAAATAGAGAACAGAACAGGTGAATCTACTGAAATACACTGCTGAGGGGAACAGCAGTGTAGGAGAGGTCTGCTGTGCCATGTGGGTTATCTCCCTGGCTGGGGATCAAACTTGTGCTGCAGTGAATGCCCATAGCTTCATAGTGCTGAGACTTAACCCCCTGTGCTGCTGTGGTTTTTGGGAGTGTGGGTTTGGAGTGCAGGGTCCTTGGGTTCACTATGAGAAAGGTTTCACCAGAGCTCCCCTTTCAGCAGCACGTGGCAAGTTTCCCAAGCGAGTTTTCTCCACGAGACAGAGATGGTAGTTATATTTAAGGAACAGATTTAGGGCCTCCCTGGTGGTGCGGCGGGTTGAGTGCAGCACTGTGAAGCTGTCCACAGCCTCGCAGCGTGGGTTCGATTCCTGGCCAGCCAGGGAGAATCCCACATGGTGAGGCAGACCTCTCCTGTCTCACCCGCCTCTCCCCTCAGCAGTGTATTTTGGTCAGTCTGCCTGTTCTGCTCCCCACTCTGTCTCTGGTGAATCCTCTCACCCTCCCGTGACTCTGGCCTGTACCCCAGCTCTTGTATAAATAAAAATAAATCTTTAAAAAAATTAAAGAACAGATTTATTAGCAAAAGGGACAGAAGAGTAAAAGACACTTACATAGACACAAGCAGGTAGAAAGCTGCCCGGAAAAGGACAGATTTGCTGAGAGGCCTGCATGGTTGCAGGCAGGTGGCCTTGAGAAGAGCTGCCTCCACTGAGGGAGGTCAGTGAAGAGAAGCCCCGGCAGGGTACAGGTCACAGACAGGCAGGAAGTCTGCTGCCCTGCGGAGGGAGAGAGTTGGTGAAAGGATGCACCTGCGTAGTCACAGGTGGGAAGAAAGACTGCTGCCTGTCAAAGTTTTTCTTTTTTATGTCTCTCACCTACTTTGCTAAATTTACTCAGCTATTTTAATTTCATTCCAAAGCAATTAGAAATGGGATTATTTTCTCAATTTCTTCCCCTTCTAACTCATCATTTGCATACAGGAAGGCAGCTGATTTTTTATATGCTGATTTTCTAACCTGCCGCTTTGTTTCAATTAGTGTTCTAGTGAAGACTTGAGGGTTTTCTCTATGTATTATGTCATGTCATAATGATAGCTTTACTTTCTCCCATTTTGGATTGCTTTTATCTTCTTGCCTACATGTTCTACTAATACTGTGTTGAATAACAGTGGTGAAGTGGACATCCTTGTCTTGGAACTGATCTTAGAGGAAAAACATTCAGTTTTTCACCACTGAGAATGATGTTAGCTATGGATTTGTCATATATGGATTACTTTTATTTGAGGTATGTTACATCTATCCCCAGTTTTTTTGAAAGTTTCCATTCAAATGGATGTTGAATTTTTACCAAGTACTTTCTCAGAATCTACTGATATAATACTATTTTTATACTTTCATTAATATGTTGAATTATGCCGATCAATTTTTGAATGTTGAACCATCTTTGTGTCCCTGGAATAGATTCCAATTGCTATGAAAAAATGTCCAACATCCCTCATAATCAGGGAAATGCAAATCAAAACCACATTGAGATACCACCTTACAACAGTGAGAATGGCACATATCAAAAAAACTAGCAACAACAAATGTTGGTGAGAATGTGGTGAAAAAGGAACTCTCCTACATCGCTGGTGGGAGTGCAAACTGGTCCAACCACTATGGAAAGCTGTCTGGAGGTTCCTCAGTCTGCTAAAAATGGAGCTACCATATGATCCAGCAATTCCACTCCTATGGATTTACCCAAAGGACTCAAAAACATTGACCTAAAAGAATACTTGTACCCCTACATTTATTTCAGCACTGTTTATAATGGTAAGACTTGGAAACAACACAAATGCCCAGAAATAGATGACTGGATCAAGAAGATATGGTATATATACACAAAGGAATACTATTCAGCAATCAAAAAAAGATAAACTAATGCCATTTGCAGCAACATGGATAGAGCTAGAAGGAATTATGCTCAATGAAAAAATTTAGAAGGAAAAAGAAAAATATCGGATGGTTTCACTTAGAGCAGGAATATAGGGAAACCAAATAAGACAGCAGGGGGTAAAATAATAACTACAAAATACACAAAACCAACACAAAAATAAACAGACAATTATTAACCAGAGACATCCTGCAGGGGAGAAGGAAGGAGAGGGATGGAAGGGAGGGATGGAGGAGCACAGGGGACTATGGTGATGGTGCACAGGTGAATTGGTAAGGAAATTCTATGGGGACTACACCTGAGGCAGCGGGGGAGGGGGGGCAGCAAACGTTTAAAAATGAACAATAATGTAAAATAAATATAAATAAATACATTTATTAAAAAAATAAATTCCTTTGATCATAGTATGTGATCCTTCTGTTGCATTGTTTATTTCAGTTTTCCAGTATTTTGCTGAGGATTTTTGCATCTATGTTCGTAAGGGAAATCTGTTGTATTCGTGCTGTTTTTATTTGGTTTGGTAATAGAGTATTGTTGGCCTTGATGTATGTATAGAAGTATTTACCCTTCTTAATTATTTTGGAAGGGTTAAAGAAGGATATGTATTGGGCCTCCCCGGTGGCGCAGCGGTTGAGCGCTGGGTTGCGAGGCTGCCCGCGGCCTCTGTGGCGCCGGTTCGATCCCCGGCTGCTCC